TACAGGTCTGATACTTAGGATGAGATGAAATCCCATAAGACTTAGCACTGGAAAATAAACTTTTAAGATAAATAGACAATACGTATGGTGATGCATGGAAATTAACCCCACCACTTTCTTTCTCCAGATCTGTTGAGTACACCAGATTTCCATTCCCTTCCAGTGAAGTAGATGCAGCACATCTACACCACCCTCCCCCTCACCCACTTGCCACCGCGGAACATGGCACCCAACAACATGCCTACCACCACCATCAGCACCACCATCACAGCAATGCAGCGGATTGGAGCCAGTACCCACTCTTCTCGTACTCCTGTTGGTGAACTTTGACCCTAAAACCTTGAAGAAAAAAATGAAGAAATGCTGTTATTATGAGAAGACAACAAACTGATAGGCCACTCCTGTAGTTTGTGTTAAATGTGTATAAATGTGTACAAAGTTTCATGTATTTCCAGGACCCTATAATGTATGAGGTGTGTAACCTGGACAAAGATCCTATTCCTCTAAAGTGAAGATTTATGTTTTCCTTTTTTTTCTATATTCCTGGTCACAAACGTGCTAGTTCAGTTTGAGCTTTTATAAATAGATACAGTATGTGTTTTGAGACATATATATATTGTCCTGTATCCAGTCAGGGGAAATAAGTGTGAAATTTAATCTGAAGGTGTGATAAAAAGATACCTGTACTGTAACAGGCCTTTAATAAAACTGTTCAGGTACCATATTAAGATAGCAAAGGTTGTTTTTTTTGTTTTGTTTTTTAAATCAAAAGCTGACAGTTGAAATCACTTAAAATTACAAAATAGAATGGAATGCAACAATGTTTGAACTTTAATTCAACACCAAACTGTGTGACAAAAATATCTTTGTGTTTAGGTCAAATCAGAATCAGTATATGCATCAAAAAGTTACAAGATTGTATTAGTTTTTGGATGCTAAGGAAATGCATAGCACAATAAAGGAAGATGGATAACAGTGGGTCAACCTGTCTGACATTCAGGTATATATTAGGATTAAGGCCACGCAGATAATCTGATCCATAATGGGATTGTCTGTGTTGTATACATATGAGTGTGAGCCACAAATAATAGTTAACAGTCAAGCTAGCAGCTCTGTGAGCCTTTATTAAGGCACAGCAGCAGTGCTTTGGGCTAAATGCTAACTTCAGCATGCTAGCATGCCTCAATGAGCAGGTATTATGTTTAGTATGTTCATCATCTAAGTTTAGTATGTTAGCATGCTAACATTTTCAAATTAGTATTAAAGAGGCATTTGAGGCTGATGGGAACGTCATTAATTTGGCCTATATTTAGTTACAAACCAAAATACTGGAAAAAATCATAAATTTGATTAGATGGCTATGCTAGTTGGAAAGGTAATACGTCACCAACACTATACTATATACTATACTATACACTATACTATATTGCTTGTGGAGCGAGATGAAAAGTCAGGGGATCAACAGGGTCAGTAGGCTTCATCCTTTGTGGACCATGAATTTTATGGTAATCGATTGAATATTTGGTGAGATATTTCAGTCTGGACCAAAGTGGTGTAGAACCAATTGACTGACACTGCCAACCATAGTGCCATGTTACTAACATGACTAAAAATCTGGATAATTGATTCATATTGACCTGCCAAGGTGCAACCATAGTTCAAGTTACCACCAACACAGAACTCACTATTCTTTAGCATACTTGAAGATAAAGCCAAAACAAGGCAACATGACATAATATAATAATCATATGTCCTGAAAACAGCACTCTATTAGAGATCATGACCCTGCTGTTCTGGTAAACCACTGCTGTACCTCTACAGTTAACTGAGAGTTCAGCTGTTAAATGCCACAAGAATACCAAACATGTCTTCATCAGCTGTATTGTGAATCTTCTGAGCAGAAGCATTACACAACAACAGCACAGTTAGGGATGAGATAGAGCGAGAATAACGGAGCAGTAAGAGACTGTCCTAGAGCAGTGAGTCTGACCTGATAAAGCGATGACAGTCAGCTAGTGTGGAATTACCATCATAGTCTGGCATAGTTTCCCCAGCAGAAGGCAGGAGCGTCTGTGCTGTAAATGTTTTACGAGAGAGAGAGGGAAGCCGTATCTGGGACATTTATAAAGCTGCAGGGAGCAGACACTGCAAAGGAATTTTCTAGAGCACATCAACTGACATGTTTTTGTGTAATACACCTTTTAAACACCAATAGAAAAAATGCATAGACATGTGAGAGGAACCGTCACGAATGGTACCAAACCTGGAGCACTTCATTAACATCAGACCTGCTGGCTATAGGGAAGTTTGAAACTGTGGCTGTCTGATGAGAGGATGGCCGTTTTAACCTCAAGGTCTTCCTGAGGTACCATGGGTCATCTGGGTCACCCACATAGCTCATCCTGGATTCCGCTCACCGCGCTATGAAATGAATTACAGAGCACAGATGGGGTCAATTAGTGCACTCGAGTTACAATTCTAGCACCAAAGGGCATGTAAGCATTTAGTGAAGACTTTAATCAGAGTGAACCAACATTGTTTTGTGTTGTTATAAAAATACTTCACTTGTTTTAGGTGATCCAATTTTAGGAGTAATTGGAACAATTAATCCTATCGTCTGCTGGAAGGAGTGAATATCTGTAACTGGGATAAGGAGTATGGATGACACACTATATTAAGCCTGACTGTGCCAGTTACCATGCTGATTCATTTATGGGTTTACATCTTTTCCGTCATGGCTACCTACTAGCCATGGATGGATTACTGAATGGGCCTGCTGGGCACAAGCCCAGGGGCAATGTGACCTCACAGGGCCTTACATTTTTTCACTGTCACTTTTTACACATAAAATAAATGGACTCTTTACAGCCCCTGTGGTCAGTTTTTCTATAAATGAATATATTTCTTTTTTGATAGCCAGAGCTCACAGAAGACACAATATGACCAGAAAGAGATTCAAAACCACCAGAAAGAAGTACAAGCACTACAAACAACATAACCGCATCCTTTCAATGTGGGAGTCATATTTAGGAGGGGTGGGGGGCCTTTTATCTGTCTGTGCCCAGAGGCCCACTTGCTCAAAATCCATCCATGATACAAAAAAATGCTGGATAAAACGTGTTCACAGTGGTTCACTGGTGTAAACTTAAAAGTGGCAGCATGTAAACTAATGTTGAGTGATAATAGGCTTCACATTCATTTTTACAACTTTGATGAGCATTGATATTAACTTAATAGTGTCATCTGAGCTTTAAATCGTTATTCTCTGTGTAAGAGTTTATGTAGCTTTAAAATCACTGACAGCAACTCCCGACCATAAATATTATCAAAAAATGGGTCTTGATTTATTAAGGATTATCATTTAATTACTTTTTTTTTTATCTACGTCGATGTATGTTCATCATTTCTCTTCATATTTTCAAACAGCAAAGATTCACTGTGCATTCACCTCTGTGGGACAAATACTCTACAGCAAGGCAGCTGCCATCGCGGCTAGCTTGAGGGTGGTGGTGGTAATGGACTGTAGGAAGGCCGTCATCGACCGTGCCACACATTCGTTTACACACACTGACTCACATATATACTGTGCCCTGAGGAAAGGTCAGAGGCAGCTAAGTTTGATTCATTATGGTCTTTGTCACTCCAGCCACCACCTATCACAGTCCTGAGGAAGACATCAACTGGCTTTAATGAAAATTTTACCTGGCACATACACAACTATAAGGAATTGAGGCCGAAGGGGAAGAGTACTGTCTGAAAATCTAAATATAGAGTTTCTTTAATGATAAAATACTTGCAAAAGGCATCATTTGAAAACCTAACACTTCAATATTATCTGATTCTTTTACATAGTCTTGATATTGAGTCAGTGAGGTCAAAGATGTCATGATTGATAGTCTCCGATGAACTAACCAAAGGAACAACAAACCAAATTACTTGATTATAATTTTCCACTGACACGCATCTCACTAAAGAGATATTTAAATCAGAAGTACTATGATAAATGTCATACTTCAACACACATGGACAACCATTGCCAATGTTAATAATCCATTATTTATGACAGGAATTAGAAGAGCAAATGCATTCTGCACAGATTAAAGAAGTCCCAGAAATAAACTGGAACACTATTTTTGATATCACTTAGATCAGTCACTTGAGATCTTCTTTGTTTTATGTTCAAAATGCAGAGGCAGATGTAGTTCATCAACATCTCTATTTGTAGCTCAGGATTTTGAGCATTGTGAGTTTAACTTGATAAAAGTATATGCCTGTGGCTTCACATTCTTTATATGTTCGCCCACAACCTTATAGAAGCTTGTATGACAGTAAATCTTGTGGGTTATTACGATGATGCATTATGGAATAACTACCATTGCCATCTGTATAGCACTCTACAGCTATGGTACATCCATTATAAGAAGATGTATGTATGACCATGGGTAGTGCACATGGGAACCGTCGCATAATCTATCATATTCATATCTAATTCAATAAATTCCCGGTGGACGGTTCCTGTTAATAGCAAGAATGCTGATACATTTAGCTAAAGCCCAATTTTCCATAAGCACCTGCATGTGTGTAAATCACCTTTCCATTAGTGTTACAGATCACTTACAACTGCTGCGTTACATACATCACATTATATTAACAGTTTTAGAACGTACTGGCTCATACTTGTTATTTGTACCTGGTTTGAAAATTGCTGAACAAACAGTCACAGACCATGTCCATCTGAAACTTTGCCCTTGAAAAGTTTTCCATTCCCCATCTGTAGGTCAGCTGACTTTCTTTTATTAGCACTTCATTAAAATTCATTAATTGCTTCCTTTCTCCTGGGCGCAACCAGAATCAAAAGTGGAGCTGTCAAAAATTAGAGCAAGAGCAACTCTCCTGTGCTCCAGATACACAACCTGTGATGCCATGCTGCTGCAAACATGGCCACGCCCACCCATCTGTGTTCAAAAGACAACAAGCACATAGAAGGTCAGCAAAGCGACTTAAAGAAGTAGACATAAATTTTATTTACTTGTTCTGTACATTAAGGGTCAATACCAGCACAGGTGTTAACCATGGGAAATATTAACACATGTAAATGGTATAAGAAAATAAAAAAGGCACAATTTTCAATTCTTAAGTAAAAGACAGGCTTTCCTAGAGTATGAGAAGAGAGCACAGTAATACTGTTAATGCCATTACAAAAACAACTCAGAAGCACAAGAAAAGCGAGTTCACCTCAAGAAAGGAACTAACCAGGGCGTATTGCTTTAATTAGTAGATTTCATTATGTTTCATGAGGAAAACCCACACTGGTTTGTTTGCACAGACCAGGAAGGATTAAAATAAGAGAAACCTTTATTTAATAAGGAAATAAATGACATAAAGCAGCATTTGGCCAGGTAGGACCATCTCCCCAACCAAGAGGTCATGCACAGAGGCAACCAGCAGGCATTTTTCCCTTTTGTAAATGTCACCGTAGGTACTTTTGTTTAATAACATCACTCATTTTAACAAAAATGCTTGATTTAATAGCCGACTACAAACTGACAAAATAAAAAAACAAAAACAAAATTGGGATACAACTAAAAGCTGCACAATATTACTCTGAACGTCTGAGCCGTGATTTGAACAGGGAGCACTAAGAGGGGAAACAAGTGAGCGAAATAGTTTTTACAGCAGAAATCTAGGGGTCAGCATTGCCTGCACTGTTTACACAACTGCTTAATCCTCGGCTCCTCCTGATCAAACAGAATTGGTTGCACCACAGTATGAACAAAGATGCTTTCCAATACTCTGATAGAGTGTTTGCATAAAAAGAGTCAAAAATTGTGCACAGACCAAGTAAAGCAGGTCGGATTCCTAAATTGACAGGAGTAACGTCACATTAAAACATAAGGTTAGAGAGGGGACTGCATGCACTAAACGATGCATTTATCTTACTCTCTGAAGAAGGCATTAATGGGATCTCATTGGCTTGCTAAGACATTTCCTCCTTCCCTGACCTATGCCACTGAAAGTGGAGCTTCTCACCTCAGTGGAAAGCCTTTAGTCTGAGTGCCCACACTGCGTTTTTAGCTAGCCTTGTAGTCAGATGCTCGTGGGAAGTGCTGGCCAGGGCTACTGCCGTTGCTATTTGACTTTTGGGAACCTGTTCGAAGCATGGCACTCCTATGCAAATAGTTATATCTTCTAGTGCTTGGTGCTGATGGCACTAAAAACCTGCTAATCTCTAAGCAATGTCCTTTTAGTTCAAAAGAATGAGAATGACAGTGAAGAGAGGTACCAAGTGGACATGCAAAATTACCCCTCTACCATACATCTTCTCCATGTCACAAAAAACAAAACAAAAAAACAAAACAAATATAGTTAACTTGATCATGATGCACAAATAAGAAAAATAAATCACATATGGCCGTGTCATGTCTTAAGATAAATAAGTCTCGTCAGCCAGACATGTGCCAGGTTGGATGGGATTATGGGATCTCTACTGTCAAGTTACAAAACCAAGATCTTCCACAAACCCATCTCTTCTGCGTTGTCCTGACTCCAGTCACACATCACATGCACATCAAAGAACCGTCAACCTGAATACCTCATGGCCAATAACTGTGTGTACATGCGTGTGCTTGTGTGATGGTTAAGGTACAACAGTGACTTGATTGTTTGAAGAAATGACATTTGACTGACTGGTTAACTCCTCATAGCCTCAGTGCTCTCCCAAGTCCATAGGGACATTGTTTTTCCCTACTTCGTACAAATATCCTCACATCAACAAAACAAACGCACACCAATACTTTCAAGTCCCCAAGACTTCAAACATAACAAATATTCAAAGAATTCAAATAAAAAAAAAAAACCGGACACGTTGTGATGTAATGTGGTAAATATCTATTGTGAGCACACACCCACACACATGCACTTATACACACACACGTGCACGCGCACACATGCGCGCACACACATACACGCACACATGCACACACAGATGCCCAGTGATCTGGAAATGAAAAGGACACTAACGCAAAGACACTGCCCAGCCTGGAACCAAGACATGGGAAAGGGAACAGGGAGAAGTAGGGTCAGGTTTTAGTTTGGATCCAATGTCCAAAGCTGTAAACAGTCAGAAAGCCTTGCAACGGTTGGTAACAACAGAGGGGTCGCTATCATGGTACAGCCCCAAGCAGGCAAGCACGTAACCATGGTGACACTGGCGGGAAAAGGTGGAGACAGCCAGCAGATTCAGGAACACGTTGGTACTGGCAAGAGGCTCCAGTTGAAGGTCAGTCACTCTCATCCGGATTCTGGGGGTCTATGATTTTGACATGGGTGAATGGAAAGAGACCCCGCCGTCCGTTCACCTCTCCTTCCCACTGACCGCTGATGTTCATCCGTGTAACCTTGACGATATCACCAACCTGAGGAAAAAAGGACAGGAGGCTGAGTTAGGGGAGGAGCTTAAAGTAAATCTAAGTATGTTTTTAAATAACATATATTCCATACATGACATTCAGTATGATGGATTTATTTTGTATGCATGTTAGACATGCATTCATATGTTTACAAGATATTCTGCTAGATGAGAGATTTTGCTCATTAAAGTTTTTTATACCACTATTTTTACCACCATCTGAACATTTAATGGAATTTAAGTGAAGCAACCTACAGTGCATGAGTGCATACACATTTTGTTTAGGTGGCTATCATGTGAGCACAACCAGCCCATTCAAGTATCACCATTTCTATTTAAGATGAGCATGTACAGTAAGTGCACTACACCATTTTCTATGGCATCATCAATGGAGCAAAGAAGTTCTGTAATGACTCAACAGTGAATCATAGTTTTCAAGTGTAGTGAAATGGCAAAAGTCAAAGAGTTAATTTGAATTTTAAGATGGTGATTAACTGCTGCACCAGACTCTCTTGTTAAGAGTCAACATTTTTCATAGCCTGAGGAAAAAACAAAACACACTTTGCACATGGCCAATGTTTATTTTAAAACCTGCTCCAAACAACACTAACAATGCACATGGGAACTGCCACAACATCCAGTGCAACAGATTTCTTAATACACACAAAATTTGCTCCATATGCGCATTACACTGTGGTTTAAACAGATGACAGAGGAGCACAGAGCTGTCGCTCAGATGGGTTTGTGACACTGAATGTGACCCCAATCTGTTAAAGCCTTATGTTCTTTATCAGGATTAGAAGGGAAAGTCTCTACCATGAAAATCATGATTGAAACGTGAATGGAAGGGCAGCATTTGTCCCTTTAACTTCAGAATGAGGCTTCAAGGACATCCAGTCCTAGACATCATCTGTAACAGTAATCCTTTGCGCCACTCTGGAATGACAAGAATGCTACTTAGCTGTAAAAGCTTCTGTGAAATCCGTATGTCAAAGGATTATACATATGTATACTGTATATATAAAAAGCCTTCAATTGATTCATCCTTTTGAAAGAATAGATTATTATCATTCACATTAAATAAAGGTCTTTCAGGTATACAATAGCAGGCCCTTGCAATTTTCACCTTAAAATTTCCTTTAAGTTTAAATTTTGAAGTGCTTAATTATGCCGCATTACATTTAAAAGGGTTAACATATGTGTATATTCATTCAGAAAAGGTTTGCTGTTATGAATGCAGACTTGTCAACCTTATGATCGTGGAAAACCTTATGGTAAACAAAATTATAGCAATGCCGTTGTAAAGAATTATATCTAACTATTATGTAAGCAGAAATGAAAAAGTGGACTAGTACTGTGCAATAAAGATGAACAAAAATAGCCTAAATATCAAACTCTAAAATATAGAGGCCATAACCTGATTTCATTTGTTGGGAACTGCCTGTCTCTGAGGTAAATAAATAATGACTCAGAGCTTCTGCTTCTTGAACCCCAGAGGCCCAAAATAGCCACAGTACAAAACTAAAGGGTTTTTGCTGTAAGCCATGAACTATTATGAGCCAAAGGCAGACACAGATAGAAGAGACAAGATGGGACGTGGTAAGGTATGCGTTTCCAGTGCAAGGCAAGTTTTAGAACAGTAAATCAAAAATACCACAGGAAATACTAGGTTTCATCTAGTTTTTTTCCCAAGTGAGGCTTTCTAGGGTTTCTGGTGGCAAAAACAATCTACTTAAGACCTATCCATTAAGCTTTTCCAAAACTTTCAAAGTTTTAATAAAACAAAATATTGAAAAGTGCTTGACTGTGAGATTAATAAAAATTGAAAAAAAAAAAATAGTGCATTACCATGTAGAATTGCTGCGGAAAAACAATGGACTTACAGTACAAGAAACCAGATGTGACTGAGTAAGGGTTTTTCTCAGTACTCCTGTCTTAGACCGGGGTTGAGGCAAAAGGAAGTGAGGAACAAAGGCATCCCAGAAGAGTAGTAATTGTACCTGCACTACACTTAGTGCATGAAAAACCATACAGATGCCTGTATTATCCATTTGCTACTCTTCAGGGGACTATAAACACACCCTACAAGCAATGACAACAGCATCTTTATTTCTTAATTGTAGCAAATAAAAATAAGAAGTCAAGCAAAAGGATTCATTAATCTAAACCAGGCTTCTGCAGCATCAGCCTCTGTTCTGTCAACTTTGAGCTGCACACTAAGTATTACAGCCTTCATCACTCTAGCTGGAGAGAGACATGGTGTCAAAAAAAGAGGCCTATAAACTTAACAGGGACAACATGTAGAGAAATAACTTCTGTACTCACTGGAACATAGAGGGGAAATATCTAAAAACAAACAGACACTAGCACAATTTCTGGTAATTCCTAAAAATCCATTTGTTGACAAAATCATCAACTAAACTAAGTTGAACCAGAGCAACAGACAGTGAGTCTAAAGTTGAAAGTGCAGAAGACCAAGCCATATCATACTGGGCACAGTCAGCCCTGACAGTTAGATGGGTAGATGTGTATGAGGCGAGAGAAACAACAATGAGATCTAAGAGAACAAAGAGCCACATTAAGACAACTATCTTAGTCAGTCTTGCCAGTATGTTCACACCGATTTTAAATATATGTTGAAATTCACTATAAAAATATAATGGAAATATTTCTTTTCAAAAAAAAAAAAAACTTGAGATTCAAAACTTACTACAAATAAACCTCTGATCAACAATGTGCAAGGAAAGACTTATGTTTGCATCACACTTTTCCTTTTGATTGTTCCCACTGTCTTGTTTGGTGTCTGTGAACAGAAAAGTATCAGTCCAGAGCTGTTGCAACAGCACATATTCGGACACAGGATTAGTGAAATATGGAAGTTAAGGTACAGTTTTCACAACAGCGGCACATATGAGGTGTGGTGGTGTGACTCACTTATAATTTCATAGCAGCTCTGCTGCAGCTGTGATCACTATCAGGGTGGACATCCTCATTTCCATTCAGCATTTTGCGCACATGTTAAGATCAGGTTCTAGCTTTTTACCAGAGAAAAATGTGCATTTTTGGCAGCTGGCAAAGCCAGGGTGTTGGAGCTAAAAATAAAGAAAGATTCTAAATTGACTGGGCTTAATATAGGCATCACTGAAAATGTTTGAATCAGTTCAAACACGCATTTTCCAGACCAGCTTGGGACACCATCAGGATTAACACAAGGTGTACACAAGCACTTGCTGTGGCAATATTTAATGTATTTATACATGTGAAATAGCATCTTAGATATTCTCTCTGGAATCAAAGGTGCACTGGAATGAGAAGCTGCTTGAGAAGAAGCTTGTAACTCTTTTTTTTACAGGGAGACGCATGTATTTAACTTGTGTTTGAACCATTTAACTTGTGTTTGAACCACTCATCCAGTATGAGCCCGCAGTCTCCAGTCAGCAGCTTTAGCTCCATATACTTCACTGCTACACTGTATGATCACACAGAAAAGCGTAAAACAAGTGCCAAATAAAGTTTAGTTTCAGTTTCTGCTATCACGCCACCTTGCTTTGCTGTTCATACGCCTCCCTCTTTCGCCATTGCCCTTTCTGCCTCTCTTTGTGGAGTTGGTTAAATTAACAATGATCATTTTTATTAAATTGAAGGTTTCATCTCTACTCATTGCAACTGTTGAGATAAGATGGGCTGTCATGGACAGCGGAGGGTGCAGAGGCTGGCCAGCTGACATGTCATATTGACCACGCCAGTGTTAATTTGAATGAGGTATTAGGCATCTCCTGAGTTCATTGTTACCAGTTGTCAATTGTCAAAAAGGGACACAAGGGCTAGAGCAGAGAAGACAGGACTAATGTTGTTAGAGGGAGCTGTCTAACCTTTAGCAAGATTACCATTTACCAGGTTCGCTCATGTTCCAAATGTACACATTTACTTTACTCCATTTTTGTAATAGAGTCACGGTGACAAGTGTATCGTTGTACCTAGCTGTAGCGGCCTAGATTACTTCCTACATCCACTGATGCACTCTGATGTCAGTGAATGGCAGCAGGGGTAAGCTAATACACCTTTCATTTTCATTTCTCCCTTGAGGGCAACACTACAGCTCAGTCTGCTATCAGAGCAAAGCTTTTTGGAGACCCACTATAAATGTTAAGTGCACACTGAGCATTACAATCACATGCTTCAACATGTTACCACAGTCAAAGCAGATTTGTATTAGTCAGAGTGCACTGCTGAGAAATGCAACACAGCTGTGAAATGCAACTGTGCAGCTGCCCGATTAGCAGCTAGCTGGCTAGCAGGAAGATTGAGCCTGAGCCACTGCGAGCTAGAGAGGACCACTAGAATTGGTGCTCAAGCTGCCCATCAGTGGATTTAAAGTCACAATAGTGTGGTTAGTCCCCACTAACTCTGAATTTACAGCTGCCAAGGGGTATTTTGAATTAAATGTATCATTCCAAAGAAGGACCATGGTGTCAAATATTGAATTTTATTATTGAATAGTTGTAGTAAGTAGTACTAAGACCAAGGTCTCCTGCACTAGAGCTTTACTGTTCTTCCACACTTGTAAATTGCTGTGGATAAAAGCATCTGCCAAATGAGTAAATGTAAATATACATACTAAACAGATCTCCAACAGCTGCCTCACCCAACCACGACTTCTTGTCCAATCAGAAGTCAGAGGATAAATGTCCAACTATTTACCACCAAACAATAAATGTGGCTGGCAGCCATTCATTGACAAGTATCATCCCACCACCACCACAACATCAGTAAGTAGCACAATGCCAGTGCTCAGAACAACAAGTTGAAGTCAACTACAGGTCCGGCAGCTGGTCTACTTAAAGCAAATTAAACATTAATTACCTGCAGAAATTTTGTTTTGTTGTTTTTTCCTAAAAAGAAAATAATAATAAAATAAAAATTGCACAATTTTCTTAAAAACATTAGGTTAATTTGCTAATTGAAGAATTAACATGGGTGATATAGAAAATTGTTGAGCAAAGCCAGACTATCTGAGGCACTGCTTCACACCCCACACTCTGACAACAAAAAGAGGCAGGCGACCAGAGCGGTTGCTGTAGCAAGAGCATAGACTTAAATATTAGACGACTGAAGAAGCACAAGTTATCTTAAACCACATTCACACTTAGAACCACCAAGAGTGCTGTATTAAGGCTGTAGGCAGCACTGGTGTTTTCCCCCTATTGTCATTGCAAGCTACTCACTACTGCAATGTCAATGCATAACACAGTTACACATTACAAGAAATTGTGCAGTACTAGAAAAACTCTGCTTTACGTGACAAATGGAAATTTTCTATCCTCCGATTTTTGATGCGTTCTTTGAGTGCTTTCCAAATTTGAAACTTTTCCAGAAAAAAAATCCAAGTGAAAATAAAGATCTATGAAATAACTATTTAAGCCCATAGTCTCTCTGGTTGGTTAGTTTTGTCCATATAGAGGGCATATTGCATAAGACAACATGGTTTACATGCTTGACCTGGGAATCCTACATCCTCTCCCTCTAGAGATCTCTGCCAGACTGTGATGATTTTAGGAGCAAAGAAATCATCTGTGAGCCTGAGCCATCATCTAATCATCTGTAGCAATGTTCTTACTCAAATAAAAAAACACTTATACACTACAAAATTCTACAATGTTTTAACTTAAAAAAAAAAAATGAAAACTGAATTGAATTACACATAACTTATTCTGTAGCCAAGGCTGAGCAACTGAACACCTCTTTATTTTGAAAATTTTGGTAGAAATGTTGAATGAAAATGAGGCAGTGTAGCTTTAAGCTAAGAAGACTGCTACAAGTTGTGTCTCGGGAACTTACTTGGCATGGAGATTTACTGCATGATGTTGCACTACAAATAATAAGTACCACTTCATAAAGACCCAGTGATTCAATGTTGACTATAATAGCTCATCTCTAGCAAAAGCATCAATTTATTAAAGCCTAATTTTGAAAAGCAAATGAAGTCAGTGTGGTCCCCAAGAAAAGCAAGAAGGAAGAGAAGAGAGATAAAGAGAAAGGACAAAAGCATTTCAGACTAAACATTTTAGATAAAAACCATTTTACAATACCTCTAGTGCTAGAGCTGTTTTATCATATGCGCATGGCACTCGTCTTTGAATGGCCTTTGCCATGACTGGGCCATTCTGCATGGACGGTAAAGGGGCGATAACTGCTCCAGGTGTGCCTGGGGGCAATGGTGAAGGTGTCTGGGGCTGAGCATAGGCGTGTACAAGGGCGTGGGAAGGCTCGGGAATCCCATAGCTGTTGGAGTTGCGAGATCCATGGGAAGGCTGGCCAGGGTGGGGTGAAGGTCGTACCACTTTCTCAACGTAGGGCACAGGGATCATCCCGATACGCCCCTCTTTACTCTTGGCACTCCACCACTGCTCCTCTGGCTTCTCTAGGATGATAAGGATCTCCCCCTTCTTGAATGGAAGATCCTCTGCATCGCTTCCAGTGAAGTCGTATAGAGTCCGCACATACTCCAGGTTCTCCTCTGGGCCACCCATGGGCTGGATCGGAGCACTCACTGTGCTTGGGTACCTTGGGAGATCACAATAATGAGGCAAAGGAAGGAGATATAATGCAGTTACCACATAACAACAGAAACCATCACAGAAAAGCAGGGGGACTTGCAGTATATAATCAGTGACAGGTTACCTTCAAGCATCACACATTTTATATTGAATGGTGTTCAATAAAAGCTGATGTTAGATGAAGGGGCCTATTTTACATTTGAACAAATCTGACTGACATGTGCCTCACTAAGAACACTTGCATTTGGACGTTTACTAATGTAGGGTCTATATGATACTGACAAAAAAGCTTAAATAAGAGCAATCTTAATATCCATTTTAATACCTATTGTCTGGAGCAAGATATGAAAAAATGACACATACAGAAGAATATAAACACACTGTAACATGCAGTGCTGTAGATGAACAGTAATATCTGGCTAAAGCCATGGCTGTATATAAGCAAACATTGCTAATAGAGGACATAAACTCACAAACGACATACTTTACCAGCAACTTGGCTAGAGACTGTTTGTGTGTCCAACCTGGTGTGTTTGGACACCACAAGGCCTTAATGAAAACTGGCAGTGTAATTGGAAGGAATGACTGCAGGCTACTGCAGTCTTACTTAAAGTGGGTTAGTTCTGGTTAACCTAGACCACATGGTTTTTAGTAGTAATTTACACCATTGAAGCTTTCATAGTGTGTATTTTCTTGTCCTCTACAACCGAGTTGTGTAGTGGAGGGGTACTGGGTGAATTCCCTACCTGGGTGCTGGCTCTATCAGAGTGGTCGTATCCAGGTAGTGGATTTTGTAGAACTCCAGGAGAGCAGGGAGGTGATCAAATTCTTGGTCGCCTATCTTAAACCTCTTGCTCGGCAAGGAGTTGATTATATAGTGAGACACTTTGGAGTTTTCAGACACTGACAGCACGTAGTCACCGGGGCAGGTCGACGAGTCTCGAACAAGAAACATGCCATGTCTCTGTCCTTGTAACCTATTCTGTGCCTCCTGTCGTGACACGGGTCCAAAATACCAGGCGGACCGATCAGACGAATCAAACCGAGCAGACATTTCTATTTAAAAATAAGTTAGTATCAGTCCACAAAAAAGAATATAACAAAACAGAATAGACAATAAGTTAAAACGTGTATGCGTGTTGGAATTGGCCAATCACAGCAAATTGGAGGATTTGGAAGATGCAGGGCAGGGCATTCGTCGTCCTGTGAGGTTTTCGAGTGATTTCTGCACAACCACCGCAGGCTTCGTAGACCTCTTTTTTACAACAAAAAAAACAACAACAAAACAACCTGACGTTTTCAGAGACAGGCTGCGACTGGCTTGGTCCAACTTTGGAGCATAATGTGGTTCCTGTGTTCAGCAGTCAACGGCTGAGTGATTGAGCGGCCAAAATAGAAAAAATAAAAAAAACTTACAAACATCGACGGAGGCCTCAAGCAACAAATGATCAATGAAGCTTCCCCTTTTCGTTCCGCCTTCCGAGAAAAACACCAGGCTTCTCTTCTAATAATTTATCTCCTCTACTCAGTGTCAGTTATGAGAACGGAAAAGGTGGCCTCAGTTTTTCATCTGATATATCCTCATGTCTGCAAAAGGTTGCCAGTCGCCGCTGGTCGGAAACGAAAAAATTACTTGTTATCTTCTTGATCTTACGGTAAGGCACACGTCATGGAAATGCGTTTTTGAATCCTTTTCTCGAGTCAGAGCAGACTTTTGAGGCAGCACAGCAAAAAAATGGCGGCCCGCAACACGTCTTCACACAAAAAATTATTTCACAGCAGCGGCTTGTCTCCTGCGCGTGCATCTCAGGAGCCAGAACGTTACACTGTAGCTCTCGCGTGCATTCCCGATTGCTCACGAGGGATTCCGGCTTAATGATTCTATATTTTATACTTTCCCTTATTTCTGCTCGTCCCCCCCTCACCCGGGCCACCAGAAATGCGAGTACGAGACCGAAAAATGGCGACGAGAGGGCAGGTCCCGGTTTCTATCTGCACGTCACTGACGCCTGAACAGTGGAGGTGGGAGGAGGAAGGGGGTGGGCGGGTGACGAGGACACGGCCGGCCCCCCACCCCCGTGCAGAGTGAGGTGTCAATCATGTTTCCATGACACAGCTAGAGAACATTTTGTATGGCAAACGATAAAGCAGTGATGTCAAAATACATTACTGACCGATTTTGAACACCACCATGACCCACTGCTGAGTTTTTCTCTCCTGTTATGTTCTGTGTAGTCCTATTTTGATTTATCATTTTTTAAACAATGTGTTACTGCAACTTTAAAAAGTGCCATGCATGTAACTTACTTAATTTACTCCTTGTATAACTACCATTATTATGATGGAACCTATACCAACATAAAAGATGAGTAACCCTTAAATCCATCCACGTTTTATATCCCAACCTGAATAAGCAATTGGGATGAGTGAGGTGAGTGATTGCAGACTTATTAGCTATATTGATGACAGTTTTACACACAATCTCTGATAACTAAAATCATATCAGATGGGCTCCTTTAGGACACAGATTAAACAGGAACACGTTCTAATGTGAATATGACAAATTTCCTTCTATTATACAGTACGTCTGTTGCTTACTGTGGCTTTGTGCAAATCTTATATGTTTAATCCACAGTACAGTGCAGTACATATTTGCTCAGTCAACAGCTATTAAATGCCACCAGTAAAAAGTTTTTACATATTTCCCTATTTTTATATCCTGTTCCTCCAACTTCCCCTCCATTCAATCTCATAATAAGTATTATCTGGCACAGAACTGTGACATCGATTTGGAGCTCCCCAACCAACCCAATCCGCAACACAATATGCTGAAAGGGAGAGAGAATTTAAATGCAGCGGACAGTGTCTCCAAAGGAGCCTTAATAAAGAGTAATACAAACAAAAGATTGCATAAGAAAACACCAACTGCCATGACAAGCTGTCCAATGTGGCGGGACAACGTCTGCTCATTGATGACAATAAGATATATAAAGAAAGCAGTAGGTCTGTTTCTCTGGTTATTGAAGTTTTCAGTGACCCTGCCTCATGAGGCTGCAGCTGGCACAGAGCAGCTCTCATCACTGCAACACTGTCTGAATTTTAATAGATTTGCACCCACTGGGTCTTACTGGCTAATGCCTGCCAATTCCCACATTTCCACAAAGACGCAGTGATGCAACAAATTGGGAAGAAAAAAATAACAGAGCTTCCTCCTCCTCACAAGCATGAATAAAAAATACTGATATTTACAGACACATATTGTTTGACTCTGTGCATTTTCACAAAAGACTATTTAACCATACATTTAGTTTAATGCTTTGTTTTAACCATGTATTCTGATTTAGGATAAAAAAAAGTGATGACAACTACTCATTAAAGTGGATTTTTTTGGAGGTCATAATTATAGATAGATGGATATGTAGATAATCTTGTTTTTGTCACTACACCAAATGCACAAGTTCCATGCTGAGTAGGAAACAAATAAATAAAGCTCATATCTGTTAGGTTTTGGACATGAAGCTTAGGTAAGTTATGGTAAGTCATACCTGTGTGACCTGCTGAGAAACATTTGAAGACTTTGATTGAATTTCCTCAGTAACACCTCCATCTAGTGGATGCGTGCAAGAGGCAATAACCTGTCTACACAACACTGACGTTTTTGTGCCTTTTTTAGGCCGTTTAGACTGCTGCGGGTAGATTTAATGTTATATAAATTTACAAACACAGGAACTGTCAAGTGCAGCTGTGGCCTTCAGCACATTTGCCTCAGAACAAAAGTATACAAGGAAGCCTTGACAGTTTCTGCCAAGTGACATAAGCGTATCTTGTGACTCCTCAGATTTCAGATTTTCTTTAGGCACAGGATTGGTTTTGTAACCATTACCCCCTGCCTATCACTACTGTGTTAAGAATCTGTTTTATGGCCTGGAATATATGTTATGTGGAAGAGGCATTGGGGTGCACATGAAGCACATGACATCAGATAATTAAATGATGTCTGCACAAAAAAAAACATTTTGTCGGTTGCAATATTATAAAACAGTGTTAAAAGGTTTTTCTATTTGTGTTTTCTAACTTTTAGTATTGTAAATCTGTCTATTAAAACACACAAAAAAATTGACAATGCTCTTGATGTTTAAATTATGTCAAAATGATCTTATACATTTCTAAGGGAAAATGAATGGCCGTGAAAATAAAAAAAGGTAGATGTGACCTGCCTTCTATAGGTTTATACTGTGGTTATGGGAGCCTAAAATGCTCTGGGTAACTCTTTGTTAGAGTTATGAATTTAAATGGATACCTGCTCACTCAATGGTTTATGTGCACAAAGGTAGTTTCATTAAATTTAGAGGGCTCGGGCTAGCCAAGATCTTGTGGAGACTTGATGATGTGGATTTGCAGAATGCATAGAAGTTGAGCTTTGAACTGCATGCTGAGTGGTCATTTTAAACCTGCTGGGTGAACCATCCCCTTAATGTATTGTTGCTGAGACTGATCTGATGGTAAAGTCACAGTTATTGCAGCAGGAGATGTTGCTAGAGATGTAATTTCAGAGCAGTGCAAGCAATGTGCAAATGAGTACAGGAGAGCTGCATAGCTACGAAAGGTGCAGTTTGGGTCATTCTATTTGCCTCAAATATCCAGCCAGTTACATCAGATCCTATGTGCTACATATGCCAAGTTGAACACAGCTGATTACTGTACAATCATTTGATTTCAGTATGACGAGATATCTAAAAGGTTCTAGAGGTGGAGTATGCTACACCAGGTTCATTCCAGGAACTGTCTGCCCCGCCTGGCTGCATGCAGTTCTTAACCTGCCCTACGCCCTTGCACAACTACATGCTAAGTTTTGAGTCATGTTATGAGACCAGGTGCTTTTAAATTTGTTGACTTTCACATGACTGTGCAGCATTGCTGAGGGAACTGAAATCACCAGTGCAACACAGAATGACTGGTAATTTATTTATTCATGTTTTTATTTATTAACAGCAATGCAATGACACATTTATGAAGCAAACAAATTTCTCAAAACCTCTGGAACATGATTATTATGATTTCATGATCATTTCATTGCATTTGCAGATAAGCCATAAGTTGTTTGACATTTGAATTGTAGACTTTTCCTGGGAAAATATAACAAATTATAAGAATGTTATTTATAGCACTCAGAACTCATCAGAAGTTAAAAACTGAGACACAGGAAAACATGCAAGCGCCAATTTCACTCCTTCCTCATCGTTCAATTCGTTGTCTTGTGATTAGTTTTTAAATAACCACTTCCTCATAGTTTTAGCTCCACACACCACAAGTTTAAACAGCAGATTCTCTTCAGCAAATGTGTATTCAGAGGTCTCGAACCAAGCTAATGTTCCATTTCGACATATATAACATTTCAGATGATTTTATTTTTGTCATTAATTACTGTCACTTATTTTCACACTACTGAAGAGTTATTACAGATCTTTAGTAGTAATACTGACAATGCTGCAAGTCAGTGTGGGATTAGCCACTATTCAATTTTATGCGGAATTTACATACATATATACAGTGTATATGTGTGTGTTTTGCACAATATGTTGGTGACAGAACCAACCACTACAGAATCTGGCAAGACCCCTTAGAGAATATTCCCAGAGAATATGGGAAATGTGACTTATGAGTCATAAAAAAATGACTCACTAACCATAATCAGAAAATGAGAAGATCAAAATAGCCTTTTATTAAACAGGCAGGTTTGTGTCAAAATAAAATATGCAGGAAAACCTACACTAATAATCACAGTTGTACATTGCATCATCTAGCAAGTTGTCTGCCAAGTCTGCCACATCCAAAAAAAAAGTTTTCACTTCTCTCATCTTCAATGACATCATTGTAAATGTTCACAATAAAACTCATAACTTTAATTCGTATATGAACATGGAACATAATTATTTCAGGCAGGGAAACCACTCTTGCATATTTTGTGTCATACACAGCATGACATACACCAAATTAGATTGTGCACATTATTTGTTTGCTAAAAGAAACAAAAAAAGAACAGGAAGAGGCACCAGATTGGGAGGAAAAAATACAAGGACAATGCTGTTTTGTGTTTCCATAGTTTATTAGAGTTTTGTGTTAATCTTGCTCAGTTTTACTGTCAGTGCATGACCGGTAACACTTCGCCAGTCAGGGCTTAACACTCCCACATACTCTGTTGACAAATACAAAAAGTGCCTGAGAAATAAGCCTGGTAGTTTCTTGGTGTCTCATTAATTGCACATGCTTTTAGAGGCTTTACTTTGGTTGTTTGCAGTGACTAAAGTTATTAATACTTTACTGTGAATGAAATTAAATGAATAAATAAATACATTTACCATCTCCTGTACAAAGCTAGATTTGAGACATTCTTTCCCCCTTTTGTGTGCAGAATCAAAGCTTTTAAGTCTATAGACCTTCATTTTTTTTAATTTTTTTTTATCTTTTCATAAAACATGTCCCTCATGAGTAAGATTATGTACTCATTATAGTCATCTATTACAAAACATCAAATCACTGGACATACTGTGAATATTTCAAATGTAAATTTTACTGATTACTGAAATAGCGTTGGGTAGAACACATTCAGCTTTTGTGACTAAGGTTTTTCAGAAGAGTCATGAAAACCCCAGCCCTGAGGTGGCTGTGGCTAACGCTCTGGTAGGTTTGATCTTGTCACTGCAACGTCCTTTTGAAACGGTCTCTCTGCACAGCACGAGCCCTCCTCTGTCTTTCTGCAATGGTTGAGCTGAGGCTCTGCTTGAGAGCTGGGAGGACCACACCAGACTGAGAGGGTCCTGACCTGAGAAAGGACACATACTGTATTTGAATTTAACTGAGAGGGCTGCTTTTTGACATGAATAGAATCTTGAAAAGCCTTTGTACTGGTTAGAAGTGGCAATAAAACATTATTATGGATATTTGAGCAATCTGTTGCATTAAGGCAAAGGAATAGAAAACCAATTTCATATAAAATCATGAAGCACCATAGGGAGCGAGATGTACATACGTTTTTTCTGGATATGTTTGAAGACCAAGTTTTGGAAATTTCTTCTCCTCAAAAGATTTGCTGTAAAGTACAAAAAAGATAAACCCTTATCACAACTGTGCAGGGTTTTTCAAAGAATACTCTATGGTGGCAATGATGAAAATGATAATGCTCTATCACTTTACCGAGTACCATCAACAAGGTAGGCCTTGGTCAAAATGTAGTTTTCTGGGGTGATTTTCTTACTCAAGACTATATCCCTCAGCAATGCCTTCACACGTATAATCTAAGTGAAATAGAGATGTTGAAATAGTTCCACAGAAATGCTGTATTTTTAAATTGCGCAACACTGGAAAGCTTCGTTTGATGATCGGTACTTACTTCCTGAGACTGTAAACTGTTTGCATTGTAGAGCTGCCGGATGATAACCTCACACTCCTGTAGGGTCGGAGCGCGCGGTGGATGGGAGGGACCGCTGTGAATTCGTAGAGGCTGTAATGAAGTGATGAGCCCCCCCTTCACCTCTGGGCCATGGTCCTCCCTGGCAGATCCCAGAATTTCGCTTCCCTCTCCAATGCTTCTCCCCAGTACAGTGAGATAATATTAATGCAAATTTACATAAAAGCTGTTAAAGGCAGTTTTGGTTGTAAATGCCTAGTTGCTATATATACAGCTATGGATTGAGACTCAAACCCATCCACTGGCCTTGTTTTGTATAGCAAGACCAAATCTCCAATATGTCTGTCTGTCTGGAGTTGTGAGCTGTGCTAAGTTTAAGAACTTGTACTGTAATCCTGATCAACCTACCATCAGAGGTTCACTAAAAGGACACTTCTCAGTTGTGTCTAAACATGTGGCTTTTAAAAAAACATAATGTATATTTTGTTATGATATAATTTCATATTTTCTGCTGCCTTTGCAAAGTTGTCCGCTAATTGGATGGTAGCAAATCTAATGTGGTTATACAGGTATCTCTTTGCATGATTTCCTGTTTCACTACCTGGCTGCGGGCTAACTTTCCTACAGTCAATTACAGTAGGGCTTTTGCATTAGCACACACTAAAAGCCCCCGATAAGAAGATCTGTCAGAGTGAACAATGTTGTTAATGTTATTTTACATAAATATTCAATTTACTTTATGTGCTACAATATACTGTATCATTCAGTATTGTACAGTATGTTTCACCTAAAATGCGCTTAACCTGTCTATATTTTGTCTCATCCCAAGCATAGGCTCTCAGTACTTACATAATCAATTAATAAAGCAGCTATAAAATAGTTCTGCATAGCTGTTAATGATAACGCTGGCTATGTAGCAATAGCAAAATTTAAAAATAGCTCTTTTAACCAAGATTAATTTCTTATCAGTGTTTTGCTATAACTTCATTTAGAGTTGGACAATATATCCAGAGCTGGATACTAATATTGTGAGATGAGATATTTTAGAGATTTTTATGAAATCAACATGTGGCTTAAATTTTCCATAATGTTTTACTGGTTATCACGGCTACATTAAAGTTCACTCACACAAATATCTGAGCTCATCTGATTGCCTTAGCTGAGTGACATTAATTAATGCCTCTACCTGTTTTGTCATCATATCCAAGTTACTGATTAATTTTCTCTCTCAAATTCTTCTTATGTGTGAATGTCTTCTGAAGAAAATACTACTGAAATATAATCACACTATATCAGTATTGAGATAGGTAGGCAGGTCCAGTACTGAATAAGGACCAGATGTAGCTGGATGGAAATTCACCTTAATGCCTGGTCCTGTGAGGGTCGCATGTCCTGCAGCGGCTCCTCCAGGTAGAGTCCGCTACAAGCTTCACTTCCCTGAGTGGGTGGTCTAACACCTCGTCGACTGTGTGTCGGTCCTGGTAGAAAGATGACCCAAGTCAGATATTATGAAGTGCTGTGGTCTAAAAGTTATTTGAAATACTGAATTTCAGCAGTAGCAACAAGAACCTAGACTTTTTATCCTGAAGGTGCCTTTGAAGTGGGTTGGGGGACATGATGATATGTATTGTGTGCAGAAATCTAACAACTGAGAGATTTTGCAATACTGTTTAGACCTAGGTTGCTATCCGGTTGCTATAACTTTAGTTATATGAGGCAATTGCTGGCAATCTTACAAACTGATAAACAGGACTTTTTTGTGGTAATATTGGATTTAGAGGATTAGAGGATTCAGAAGATTAGCCAAAGGCACACATTCCCTTATGGTTTGTTTATCTATAAACATCTTCTCAAATGAATTTCACCCAAATGTGTTATATCATTACCCCAATCAAAAATTAAATATCCCGTCAAAGAAGATTTTATCTGTATCATCCATGTCTACTTTAATCTATCCCAGTCCTATAAGAACATTGGCTGTGCATAGCTGGGTGAAACAAAAACAACAGTGAATCTGAATTATATCTTACCTTTTCTACTTGACTTTGGAGGCTCCATTATGATTTTATACTGCAACTCTGCAACATGCATATTAAGAGAATTTTAGTGCGTGATATACTGTAGGGAGGCACATAAGAGGAAAAATCTTCTAACATGGTCCCAGTAAACAGCCCATGTATCAATGGGGGCCTCTCTGCTGTGATGGTGCAAAGACAGATGACTGAGGAGTCTCCTGGTGGGTAGTGAGGTGAGGCTATATGGAACAGCATGTAGCCTGTTCAATAATGTGACACTGGATCTGTGTCCACCTCCCACTGAGAAACCATCACAGCCCTGGAGTTGCTATGCGACCACCGTACCGAGATTGAATGTCTCTCTTGTCAGCACCTTATCAGGAGACAGTCAGGTTTTTGTCACCAACTTGAATTCATTACATAAAGGGTGTGGGCACCATAACAGGTTATTGAGTTTATCCCTTGTAAATATGGAAAATAATGATATGGATTCTTAGAATCTGTTGGTTGCCCTTTTGGGCCATGTGTCAGTTGACCATGAAGTCACCAGTTCCTTGATGAACACCTTAACACTTGACACAATTTTCCAATGGGATTATAAAAGTACAGCATCTGTCTATCAGGATAGCACATTATTGAAAAGCATCTTAAAACTCAATTTCTTTGGCTTTTTCATGATCTTATAATTTTATTTATCATGTTATTATTTTCGGTGTCCTCCATTTTTCCTTTTCTTTTCTGTAAAGTACTTTGTAACTACTGTACAGTAATGTTCACTGACTTGCTCTTTTGATATCAGCATAGCATAACATAATTCTGTGGCTAATTTACTTTACCATTGACTGACCTCTAATTTAACTGTCAACAATGAGAATAATTCATGATAATTATCCATTTTTTCAGATTACATATTCAAATGAACGCCTTCAATGAGTAGATTTAAGTAATCATTACAAGAAATAAAATACGTAATAATCTTTTTCTTCCTTAACACTGTTTTCTTCACCTTTATTCTCCCGTCTGAGATATTCTATCTCTGCATGGAGCCTCTCAAGAGTTTCCTTGTGTTGTTGCTGTAGGAATTGGATATTCCTCTGCATTGATGCGACGCGGGGGTCCATGTCGCTGTGACAGGACAGCTCTGCTGTTCTCCCCACTCCTCTGTCTACTGCCGGGACAACAGGCAACGGCTGCGGTCGTTGTGCCGGTAAACGTCGTGGAGAGCAAGGTTTCCCGAGACGCCCAACTCGGGTCCAGTGCGGCAAATGGCGCACCGGTGGGAGGTTGTTACTTGACATCGCTTTGGTTCACTCGGCTAACGAAGCATTCTTTGAACGGGGGTGACGACTTCTTTCCAACTCGAATTAAATTTGCCAACTACCACCATTAGCTAACTGTGTTTTCTATTACCATTATGTTAAAGTGAGGACAGGTAGACTTACATTTTTATCCGACAGCGGCCAGCTAACTAGTAACCTTGAGATTGTTGCTTGTAAATACCTAAAACACCCTGAATTACTTTAGCACTCATTTGACATGCACTCCAGCCACTCACAACGTTGCCATGACGACTATGAAGCCCATTTTATGCCCTGAGTTGACGCTCTGAGGTAATCTACATAAATCCCTCCTCCTCGATTAGGATTGGCAGACTTTACCTCCAACCAAAAGTCGCTAAGCATTCAAACATAACTGTTTGATTGGTGAAGGAAGTTACGGGCTGTACCCCGCCTAGGAAATGTTGCCTGATATGACAATATAAAGTTTTGCATGCCAATTATTTGTTTAACAATTTCTAAGAATATATATGTTTCACATTTAAATAAAATAAAATAAAATAAAACACCACACACACTTCAGTCCAAATAGGTAAGGTACAATACTAGGGGTGATCAGATGACATCTCCCAAGAGAACTCACTTATTTTCATTATTGTATAAGGTGTTGTTATTTATCATATGCATTTGTTAATTGAAAACTAAAGAGGGCACTTAAATTAATAGAAGCCAGTGATTTGTTTGAATGTAAGAAAACAAACAAACAAAAAATGACATTTTATTTCATAAATTTGCAGTACTATGAGGTATAGATGGCTTGTAATAAATGATCTATACCATGCCAAAACACTACTATATTCTTTTAAGCAGCCTTAATGTAAAGTCCCTGTTATCCAGTTTAAATGGCACTAGGTTTAATAGGTCAGCAGTAGGATAAAGGCTCTACTTGAATTTCCAACCTTTCTTGAAAAATATCCCATAGCTAAGGGGAATACTGAGGAAAAAAAGGTACTTTAGTTATTAAATTGTGATCTGAATTACTGAGTTAAGGCCAAAATGACAATGGTGTGGTTTATGATTGAGTAAATTCAACTGTTATATAGGATCATAAAACCTGTCACAGTTGTAAGGGGGATAAGGATTTCTATAAATGCATGTAAAGCTTCAGGTCAAGGACAAATAAAAAATCTCCATAACTGAGATGACACAAAAGTAGAAGAAACTCGCATAATTTTAAGACAAATATACCTGTCCTTTCACTTTATTCATGTTGCAACTCTCAGACAGTAAAGGTTATATCACACACAGGGACGCTGAGATAGTGAGTCTGTCATAGATATGACAACATTAAAATGCTTTTGTGACAGTAAGAGACAATATGGAAGATCAGCAGAAGGCCTATTCTTTGGAAATGTATAGGTGCTGTATAGGTGGTTCTGTTCTTTCCATGCCTGCAGCGTCATATATGCAATAACAACAATAACTTAATTTACAATATTTACAGGTAATACAGAATTAGTAAAGTGAAAACGCAAAATGAAAACATTCAGGTATGTTCTTCGCAAACATACAAAAACAGTAATCCAAATCAATGACAGATCTACTGTAGGAGTGCACATAGCAAAGGCTAAATCCTCATGATGGTTACATTTAATTTTATCTTTATGTGATACTTTGAACAGCAACACTACAGCTGGTAGGGAGTTAGTATCTTGCTCAAGGACACTTCATCAGAGTGGATAGGTGCTTGTCATAGGGCACTGTCTCTGAACGTCATACAACAACCTGCTGTTCTCTACCTCTCTACTCTTTAATTATTTCAGCTGCAGCACAAATTATCTTTATGGTGCTTTTGACTCCTGCCCAATATAATCATCATTAGCATGGCCGATAGCTATGATTGTACAATAAAAAGTGACACATGCATCAGTTTTACAAAAAATAAGAGATCATCACTTTTCTGCTACCTGTATCATCTTTTGAGACATTGCCACTGTATACTGACTGAACAGAACAGCATGTGTAGAGACAGAGTCAGTGGATGAGCTGATAATAGGAATGTACACTGAAACTAACATTATACACACACAGAATGTTCTCGGTAATGTCAAAGAACACTTCAAAGTTCTCTGACAAGAGACAAAAGGCCACAAATCAAATACACATCATGTATATTTAGAGAAACCTTCACTAAACAAAACATTTCTTCCATTCTGTTCTGCTGACAGAGCTACTATACTGGCTTCATGATCTCTGTCTGGACTATCCTCAGCCCTGACCTCACAACGCCGTATTCGAAAACATGAACTTATTCACCATCTTAACTTAAAAAAGACAAAGGAAAACACAACTCAAGGAAAGGGAAGTAGTCCTGGGGCCTGGCAGTGGGTTACACAAAAGGAACCCCTGATTTTCAGTGGATTTTGTTTCATATGTAAAAGTGGGATCCTACCCAGAGTCAACCACATCCACGCAGTCAGCTGGAGTCTAAATCAAATCATTCACTCTTGTTACAGAGCAATGTCAATGCTTCTGTACCGAACAAATCCCACTTTCCATTAATACCTCAAACCACCACAAACACATACATGTATGCATGCATGCATGCATACATACATACATGCATACACATAAACTTTACTTTGAAAGCAACCTACGTAGACATTGACACTTACCATCGGCCCAAAATTCAGGGGAGTTAAGGGACCTTGTTGGGGATGTATGGCCAAGGTCAATATCAGCAATGCACAAATATTTCAGGTAAAATACACATTTTCAACTAGCACTCCAAATCAGCACACCACTTTTCAAAATCAAACACTATCATCACCCACTGACTACACTGAAATAAAACACAACACAATTGATGCAAAACATTTTTTTTTCTTCAGTGTAAAGCAAGTTTTCTTTTCCTTTTTTTCCTAAAGAAATCTTTCTAAGGTTTCATAGCTTATACCATCTCTTAGTCAACATTCACACATCTACACTACCTTTAGACAGTAACTATAATACTAAACTAAAACTGCACTAAAAGTATAGAAGTAGAAATATGAAATCTGTCTAGGCATCTACAAAAACTGAACATGTTTAGCATATTCCACTCAGGATCTTTCTGTACAGTACTTCAACAGTGCAAAAGCATTCAGACATTAGCCCTGGGATCAGTCTAAATGTTAGTTATCAAACATTCGGCTAATATTTATGGTCACTCCTCACTCCTGTCAGCACTACATTCAAATTTGATTATACTTGCTAAACTCCACCATCACTGATAGATAAACACAAAAAGACAGAATATGGAATCTTAAAGAGATCTAAATCTAAAGAGATTACCAGCAACAGCAGCATCTAAGCTTCTGTATACCTGAAGAATACATCCCAGGTTATTGCAGCATCTTTAACGAGATTGTGATCAGGGATGCTAACAGACCAGTTTCAGTCCCTCTGAAATTAAATGCTGTATTTTGCATGTAGCAGTGGGGTAGTTAGTGTCCTCTAGACCCATTTTCTACCTGTTGCTTTTAATACCTGCTACAACTTAAAAAATAAAATCCTTACGCCATTAGCCCGTTGTAAAGAGGGATCCAGCTGTATTACCCTCATGAAGACCCCTCCTTATTCCAGCTACCTGTGCTGCCAGTAGAAAAACAATGCTCCCCCATACCATATTTGTACCTTTTATACAGAACGGTAAACAGGCTGTATAAAAAGGTGCTATTGTCTCACTGTGGGGACTTGGTCTATGCCAGTGAACAAGTTTAGAATCAGTAAAGTGTCAAACAGGGATTTTTTTCCAAACCAGCATAGATATCCACAGTGACTCAAAGATAAAACATAACACAAAAAACAAAACTACATTTTTTAAAGTCATTTTGGCAACAGTTTTGTAATAGTGCTTCTATGCATTCCCGGCCACAAATTGTAACAATGCTATTTATACTTCCCTTCAGCAAGCACACAACAATTAGGTAAAAACCAGAGAACATAAACCCAGCAAAGCAAACAAAGGGTATAAGACAAACACACATCTGATGAGAATGATACGTGGCCATTCCTGGTCTTCATCAGTAAACGTCCTTGTGTAGGTGTACAGCAGATACTACACTTTCCGTCTAGCCACTGATCTTGGTAAAGGATAACATTTGTCTATAGATTTGCGTACTGCAAATTTGTAGCATTTGTCCATCTTACAATGCTTTGTGTTTATATCTAGATAAGTACTGTATGTGTATGTGACTACTTGGCAATAATTGCTCCAGCATGTGTTACGCCTAGTGAGGGGAATCATCTTCTTAGCAAAAAATACCATTTTCAGTGCCAGGAGCACAGTCCTCTCACATAGACAAGAGCGCAGACATTCTTTTACAGCGCAGATGCTTCATGTCCAACACTGGTCCAAGTTTAGTGTTGGGGGAAGTCACTGTCACTGTCCAAAACTTGACATGAACAGCAAGTCATTCAAAGAGCACATACTCTAGAGGTTAAGTGAAAGTGAAATCTTGTGGTTTTCTAGTGAACACTAAAGCAATTCTAACTGAAAACCATGTAATGTGGGTGGAGATTTGGTTCGTTGATAATGCACAGGGTGCAAATGACTGACATCATATCGACACTCTAAGACGCAGTGTAGGACACTTAGGACACTTAAACACAGAGTCCTGACTGCAAAGCTGTGAGGCGGCGTTCAATGCATTCTTTGCCTGCAGATACAGAGGGAAAGTGAAAAAAAACAGAAAAATAGTCAGTGGTTGGTTCAGCAGAACAAGTCATATCCATGAAGACGTGCACATTAGCTGCTGTTTTATCTATGTAGTAAGCACTGTGATAAATTGGCTAAACTGATAAACTGAAATATAAATTTTCACATCATTGAATCAATGGAACATTTTGAATTGAGGAACATAAAAATAAAAACATAATATAAACATAAAAAATTACTTTTAGCCGCAGGAATATTGCATGGTGGGTACTGGTGTTGAGTGGTGACATCCTCACTTTGTGTGAGTTGAGTTGACAGACATACTCACATTTGCTAACACTGAGGATGTCATCCTGTTCAGTGAGCAGCAGAGACAAGCCCTCCATCAGCAGCAGAGCTTTATGGTAGCGCAGGACTGATGCTTCCCCCTGGTGGAACATCTCGTCCAGCGCAGCAGCCTGAACCTGAGATGACACCAGGACGCACACGTTAAAATAAGTTTGATTTTAGTATTGATTAAAATATCAGTATAATGCTCTTGAGACATACGATGATCAGTTCTGTGATTAATGCTGTAATTTAGCAACTTTTATTTTCCTTGCTTTGTGTGTTGCTATTTCCTGAGAGATTGGAAGGGATATTTTTGCCATTCGTGCACTTCAGTGAGTAACATACACTGGGATAATTATTAACTGGATGACCACAAATACAGTATCTAATGATTCAAACTGTCTAATTTTGTCTCAGGCTTACCATCTGCACAGTGTGGCTGAACAGCAGCCGCTCTGCTGTGATGGAGGTGATTTGGTCCATAAGACGGTGCTTCCTGGAAAAAAAGCGCTCCAGACGAGTGCTGAGTGAGCGACAGGATGCCACGCTGGATTTGTACAGCTCATTCAGCCTCCTCACCACTGTATGTGGACAGAGAATTTGACAAGTTAAATTTAATATGCTACCAAGACACTTTAATCAAAATGTGTTTTAATTTTCTTTAATGTACAAATAAAACCCTCTCTTTTACAAGATGAAATGGGTCCTACCTTGTTTGACTGTAGCAGATGGGTAGAGTTTGCCCTGTTTAACTCGCTCCATGGCTGTGTGTAAGGCAGTCGACAAGAGTTCTGCAGTCTTAAGGTAAAGAACCAGCTGTTCTGCATGACTGAGGACACAATTACACATGCACACGCACATGCACACACGATGCGTTAGTGAAATATCTGCATGATCTTTTGATCTAATGCTCAAAAGAAATCTCATCCTCATTTTTGTCTACATTCAAACTCTACCACTCTGTATTCAGTACAGAAAAGCCTCAGCTGACTACATTTCCGTCAGTGTGTTTCTGTTTGTTCTGGTGAAAAACTGCATTCAAACTGCAAAATTAATTTTGACACATTGCAGTCAATATTCCTGAGTAGGCTCTACAAATCCGCTTACTGCCTGCTGGAAATCTCACTTGACAGATCTTTTTACTAATTTGCTCAATTACAAAACAGTTTTGTCCCTAAGGCTTTTTTATGTGGTGCAAATCCAAGAGATCCACCTTGAAATAATTTTCTATCTGAAGTAGATAAACAGTATCATTGCTAGCAACAAAGACTCACACCCATACTTGATATGGCCTTACCTCCACTCTCGGCTCAGTGAGCTTATCTGATCTGCTACCAGGCTATGCTGCTGAAGGAGGGAGGGATGAGAAATGTCCACCTGCTCCCCCAACACCGCAGCACCACGGGCCCCGGCCACTTCCATTAGACAACGTGCAAAATCCAACGTGAAACGCAGGTTTTGCACCATGTCTGTATGCTCCTGCTGCACTCCGAAAGAGGGAGGAAGAAAGACAGGCCAAGAGAGAGAGAATTTGAAACAGAGGACTCCATAATGTGATTTTGCACTCAGTCTGTATTGGTGGGAGGAACATGAGTTTAACAGGAGACAGGTCATTCAGTGCATTTCAATATTCCATTCTTGGGTTTGACCTTAGGCTATTTTAACACATTGACTTGAGCTAAAGATACTACACTACACTATGCTAATATCAGCATTTTGTGAGAAGGATTGATATACACAACAAAGGTCATTGCTGCACACATACATAAAATATACAGAGTCAAAGTAATGACTGTTTTGTCACTACTTTCCAGAGGTGTGTGGGAAACCTGCTCCTCACCTCCATCAGTGTCTCCTCAGGCAGCTCAGGAGCCTCAAAGGTTACGGGGCCTCCCATGTTGGCTGTGATAGGATCAGTGAAACTGTAACGAGGACTGGAAGGAGCCTCGAAACCATCCAGATAGGTGCCTGTCTGGGGGTACCGGCTGGTGAAGGAGCCTGCAGGGCTGACTGAAGTGAACGAGCCTGCAGAAGTTAGAAAAAGAAAAGGCATAAAATATTTTTCTGATCAAAAGCCATGAATTTTCATAGCTGTACAATAAACAGCAGAATCAATGTGAACAACTATAAATAAAAAGACTGTATAGACTACAACTATACTGCTTGTTGTTCCTGGAATTCATGCTTCTGAGTAAAGAAGCGTGGCAATAAATGATTAAGCAGTTACATGAATTTTTATTTTCATAAAAACTTGAAGTGGCAATTATCAACTGGAAAAGTGAGTGTTAGGAAAAGCAGTCATTTGGGTTATTACTCCATAAATGTAGCTAAATCTTTCCACAGTATGGCTTCATTTAAATCTTGGCCAGTTCAAAATCAACCCTTTATACTTTTCTCCATCACATTTAATTAAGTTTCCACATTGTGGAAAATGAAAATAGCAGCTTCCCTAATGCTCTATGTTGTGTTATGTGCAGAGCATAATAGTAATGCTGCTGCATAAGTGGAATTTGATTCCCACTTGTTGCAGAGGGGATGTAGAGACAAATAACATGTATTCAGCAGTGTTAGGATGTGTGTGTGCTACCTGAGTATTTCCTCTGTCTGGAAGTTTGAGGTGGGGTGCTGCCACTGGGAGGAGAGCCCACAGTGAAAACCACTTGTGCTGGGCTGCTGGATCCAGGTGCAAGACCTACCCCAGCACCTGGGGGCGCTAGAGGACAGAGAAGAATAATGATTAAAAGGTAATGGAGCAGGCAAGGCTTGTGTCCATTATCTTATTTCACAGCCTTAAATTTGGATCCAATTCTTTAGTGGGATTGTCAGACTTAGCCACTCCAACAGGAAACTACATATAAATCTTTGTAAATCTCGACCAATAGAAATGCCTACCTGTTATTTCTATGGCTTTTTCAGAGGTCAGGTTCTCTGTGCTGCCTCGTTCACCCACAGGTCCACCTGGTCCAAACGCAGCCATCAGCAGCATGTCAGACAGACGACCAGCACTCTGAGACCTGCAGACGGCGAAACAACTGTATCTGTAAGTAAACAATTTCTGTTGCATGTGCAGCATGAGCAAGGTAAACATGACAAATAGAAAAAAACAATAATCTAACCTTCCGAAGCTCCTGGTATCATCATTCAGTCTGTGGATGCAGTGTGCAGGCTGGGCGACCTGCGTAGGTGCTTGTTGTCCTGGCTCTCTGGGCTCTGTCAGGGCAGTCCTGCTGCCAGGAGAGCCGATGACCAAACCCTGCTGTGTAAGGAAGGTCACAAGGTTTGGAGAGCTGGGAGGCTTAGGGAATTCAAATGGAGGGATGGTCTGAGGAGAGAGACAAGAGAGAGGAGAGGTACCAGAGGTTAATTTAAACTGCTTGGTTGTCTTTTCTTGTGCTGTGTTTCTCAAGACAGTTGAAACACACATTCTACTCTCTCTCTATCTCTCGCTCTTTCTCTCTCTCTCACAAACAAAGCTAACCCTGGAAGGGGAGCCCAGGATGGTGGGGAGGGGGCTGCGCTGCATCAGCTCACTCAATCTGGGGGAAGAGTGTAGGGGGCGGACAGTCATCAGGCCTGATGAGGGGGCAACCACAGGGTCCGAGTACTGCTTCCTGATCTTCTGCCTCCCGCCACCACTGACACACTCCAACAGACAGGGGGCACTGTGGAGCCGTGTGCCTAGTCCTGTCGTCTGTGGGTGTTGCTGAGAAGTCGGCCGGGGTTCAGTGAGCTGAGGAGCTGCAAAGGAACGTGAGACAGGAGGAGGTCAGAATATTTCTGGTTTTAGATAGCAAGTGGCATCTGACAGAATGAAAATGTCAGAGAGGACAAGAAAACAGGACAAGAAAAAACATATCTACCAAGAGATAGCAGACATTAACAAGTCCTGCCTAACCCCCCCATTGCCCAGCTGGCATGCATGTCCACACAGCTAAGGAATTGTGCCAGCATGAGGCGGAGAGCAGACCAGGGCAACTGGTGTGGAGAAGGAGAGTGGCTGGTTGATTTTCTCAACCAATAACTTTCAAAACTACTGACCAGGTTGACTCAAATACCAACTACAACCTTATATTATGAAATTGTGAAAATTCTTCATCACATGCTCCCAAAGCCTAAAATGACAACTTTAAATTGCTTGTTTAGTTCAAATCCTGAAGATATTAGATCTATAATGATTTAAAACACAAATAAGCAGCTAATCCTCATATATGAATAGTTCAAACCAGAGACTGCTGAGTATTTCCACTTTATAAAAGATTTACAGGTTTGATCGATGCACCTTTTCATCCAGTGGTTCCTAACATGGTAGTCAGGATGCCCCAAGGCACCCTAAGATAAATCTGAGGGGTCAATATATGATTAAAGGGATAAGAAAGAACGAAAAGTAAGGAAAATAATTTTAAGTTGTGAAATACTAAATAATTTAACCCCTTCAAGTCTCTAAAAGTCCTTCAAATTAAACATCTGAGACAGAAAAATCCTCCCCGGCTGAACTGCACACAACTCATGTCCATAACCTGTGATGAGTGGTCATCAGCAGACTCTCTTTCATTCACAAATCAAAAAAGTTGGGAACTGCTGAATTAATCAATTAGTTGACTAATTGTTCCAACACTACACCTTCCCCACATCTCTATTACCATAAAGCCAACAACGAGTTAGCTCAAAATTGGTCACTATTGATGCTACACTGTCCAAATTTCTATTCAATATGTAGATGCAGTGTGGTCTCTGTGGCATCTGTGAAAGTGGTTTACAAAGTGAAGACTAGCCTGTGAGCTACCTAGAGGCGAGAGCTGGAAAGTTCTGCCACCTCCCAGGGAGAGCCTGCGGGTGGCGGTGACTGCTCCCTGCCCGTAAGATGGTGAAGGTCCGGTCCGAGCAAAGCCCAATGAGCTCCCACTGCTGCAACGACGCACCGGTGTCGACAGCCTAATAACGTCAAGTTCATGCAGTCAATTTAAGAAATGTGTGACGTGTGTGTCTGTGTGTGTGTGTGTGTGGATACAGACCGTGGTGAGCCATCCTGTTTGGTAGAGTGGAGATTCTGCTCCATGCGCTGGTAGTTCTGGACCTGAGTGGGGACTGGAATAGGCAATGACTGACCATGGTTTCCATAGTTACCACCGTAGTTACTTCCCGAGAACTCACTGGGCCTGCCAACAACAGTGAGAAGAACAGAGTGTGCGCCAGGGGAAACAGTTAGACAAGAGAGGAGAGAGTTAATATATGTGTGTGGGTGTGTGTGTGTGTGTGTGTGAGGACACAGACAAGTTTACTACTGTCAGATGCTCAGTGTTACAGACAATACTGCCAAACTTGTACATTGTTTGTAAGGATAGCATGGTCTGTTCAATTCTTTATATAATTTTCCTGATTCTAAAAATTCTGCAAGAGTTTCAAAACTTTCAATATTCATAATATAATATATTTATGCAGATGAAACACTGAGATCTAATGTTACTTGAACACTGGAACTATTCTCAACATGCAATTCCACTCGACTTAAAGGATTTTTGATCATTTATATTTCAATGTAATATTGATATGACTGCAACATGCTGCCATTAACCATTTCCTGATAGTGTCATGACCTCTGAGCTACATAGCACAACATGTATGGCCACAACCAAACATTCAGCTTTGTGCTGTTACCTGACAGGACTTGGAGAGCCACTGTAGGAAGGTGAGTGTGGGGGTGTTTTGGCTTGGCTACACAGACCAGCAGATGCCAGAAGAGAGCTGATTAAAGTGGAGAAACAGAAATAGAAACTGACACAAACTAAGAAAAAAACATTACATTTGTGTAACACAGGTGTTGGCCAATCCTTGCTTCTTACCCACTGTTCATCAGGCTGTCCTGCAGCACTTTACTCTCACATGTCAGCTCACCTGCTGGAAAGCCCAAAAAATAAAAACAGCAAAATCAAACTGGAGTGAAAAGAGGATTTCCCAAGTATTTCTATTAAAAGAATGTGAGAAGAACAACAGAGAAGGGATATCTAAAAAATGCTGAATATGCCACATAAAAGCCAGTCTATGAAAAAACACACTTTCAAAATAATGGAGCCAAAGCTAGGACTATGCACAGCTGCCTTGGCCATTTAGGTAGGGATCCCATGAAATAAAAAGTGTTTTCTTACTCGTGAAGTGAGCAGGCACCATGACAAAGTCATCTGTGTCACAGGAGGAGGAGTTCTTGCTGCTGCCGCCCCCTCCAGACGAGTCCTTGAGGAGAAAACCAGTGGCCTCCTGGGTAGGAGAGGCCAGAGCTTTGGCACGCAAATGCTGAACCTCAGCAAGAGACTGCTGCAGGGCACAGAGACAGAAAGTAGGAGATAAACGAAGAAAGGAAGCACAAAAGGTTTCTTAGACTGCACATAAAAACACAGTGTCATTACCCAGGCACAGAGAGAGAAACAAAGAGAAACAGGGAAATAATACAGAAATACTAAACACAAACCGGTGGTGAGGCGAGATGAGATGTGGAAGAGCTGCTACAAGAGCTGGCTGATGCAGAGCTTGGGAAGCAGGTCATGGTCACAGTTGGAGTTACTGTAGCAAAAAATAAACATATTTGTTAGAAAACTCAAGGATACACACAATGCATTTTGGTAAGAAATAGAAACAAAAGTCTACTTGGCAGCTACTATAATATAAAATATACTAGCCTTTAATCAGGTTCATCACTATATGGCTGTTTTCACAAACTATGATGGAATGAGTGTATCATTTGGATAAAAAATGAATGTAGGGTTTTATTTTATTTTGGAAGAGCTGTGAAGTTTTGCATTTATTGTTTTAAGAGAATGTGGTATGGTTTCAGAAAATGTGTTTATTATTATTTACTTATGTGTTATGTACTTATGGTGCCCACCCCAGATCAGTGTGCAAAACATTACAGATTGATACATCAAGAAGTGCTCATAGACAGTCCTGAACTCCTGTATTTCTGACAACTATCTAAGCAGGTTCTATTAGGAAATGTATTATTTATTCTTACTTACTCTTTTTCATTGATGAGCTAGCCTCCAGGAAAGAATGACCAAAAAACTCATCTACCAACAACACAAGAAGAAATGTAATCAGTAGAAGGTTGTGGAAAGAAGTGTTGCTAACAGAATATTTGCAACAGCACAAGATACAAATACAGTGACCTTTCGTGCAGACAGCACACAGACACACACATGCATATCATCGTCACATCTTTGGCCTGGGTGTTATTTCTTAATCTGACACTTCTCTTTTAAATGGAAACACCACATTCATAGGAATACTTGTCACATCTGTTTCCTGGGTAATTTAGCTAGAAAACTATCTACAAAATACTGTATCAGACCATTTGTGGCAGAATGTACTATCTAGGTTATCAGTGTAAGTCTGCATCAACACCACATAGTCAACTGTTTTATTCATTTTACTCCGACATCTTAGTGCAATGTTCACTAACCAAAGTCCATGCGGTCCTTGTGGTTGCGCTGCAGCAGTCCCAGCAGCAGGTGCCTCAAATGGCTTGAAGTCTCCCTGGGGATGCTGCAAACAAATAAAACCACAATCCGTGTTTGCTGCTGTGCAGAAAAAATAACAATCTTGAGGGAAAGGTCACACAAAAACAACAGAAACCTGTTGCTACAGATAAAGCAACATTTTTAGCTGCACTTTATTTACTCTTCGTGTTTTTTTATTACAAGAAACATCTGTTTTTGAATGATACATGAATGATACTCTTCAAATACACAATGTCTCTCCCTGTTAGCATGGCTGTCAACATTCCTGAAAACCCAGACAGGCTTTCATTAGGCAGCTGTGAGATTAACTGAAACATAAAACCTTTACAGACATTGTGTTGTGAAAGAGTGGGCTGTTGGTGATTTCTTGGGGGCTTGTCATCTCTTACAATGTTGTTTACTAACTGGTGTTCAGCTGTTAAAACAGCCCAGCTGACGTGGACATGATTGGTAGCATCTCTCTCAAAGGGAGATTTACAAACTGCATTTCAGGTGACTGATCTAAATATCAGATGTTCATAGTGACACAAACACATTCTCAGAGATAATTGGGTCTTTCTGAGGAGTTCACTTTTAATTGATTATTCTGCACTGAAGATGTACCACGGCAATGGTGCTCATTTCTTATAAGCAAAATCGAAAAAACAAATGCAAAAAGAAATGATGAACTTCAGTGTTTCAACATTTGTTGATCACATAAAAAATAAACATGCCGTCATCTCACTGTAAGTCCTTACTTGGGGCTGAGATTCTTGTTTTTTTCATAGAACAGCCGGAGGTCCTGGGGACTGCTAGCCTAAAGATGACAAAAAGTAAGAGGGATAGTTCACAGTAGATAGTATATAGATAGATAGTTACATGAATGAACATGAACATGAACATCTGCAATGTAAGTGTGTGCTGGGCATGAACACACAGACGCCAGACAACTCATTTAAAATGGCCATCAATAAAGCAAAGAATGAAGCGACTCAGGAAGTTTCAGAAATGCTGCTGGGCCAGTTACGATAAGATAAATTATGTGTCTCATCTTTTATCTTTTTAAACATTAGTCAAGTCAGCCGGGACAAACCGTTTTGTTTTCAAGTTCCTGTTCATCTCTCACATTATCTGGAGAGGAGACAACCTGTTTGATCACAGACTGAACTGCTGTTTCTCGACAAGGATGAAAACATGTTGTAGGAACATTCAGGTAGGTTTTGACGTAATAAACTTAATTTTGTTATTATTATAAATGACGGCACACCTAACACACACACAGTAGCTGATAAATTATTTCATAAAAGTCAATATTAACAGTAAAGTCAAGTTGGTGTGGTGTTTTGGCATGATAATCTGACTCTGGAATTTTCACACTGGTCCATTCCTACTTGACAGTGTAGGTACAGTATATACTGTGTGTGTGAAGTAGGTTATCATGGAAAAAATCTGCATGATCTGCAGTGACACCCAAAAGAAAAAAAAAAGAAAAATCTGCATACAACCAATAAAAGTGGTGCATTTACCTGAAAAGGAGCCTTTCCAGTCAGGCACTGAAACACTATGGTTCCTATACTCCACAAGTCAGCCTTGGCATCATAGTTTTGGGACATAATGACCTCAGGAGCCTGGTGAGGAAAAAAGAAGGACATCATTTTCAGTGTTGACCCCTTTTTGGAAGTATTTGATGAACATTTAACAAGATGATTAAGTTCTCATTATTGCTGCTGTAGGAGTTTGCTGTATTGTTGTATTGTACTGCATTGTTTTAGAGATTGGGTTCAACGACCACAGTGAAATCAAAACAATTGCGGCTCTGCTGTTTCACATGAAGAAAAATAACTGAAGCTGCTGAACCATCATGAAGTAGGGGCGGATTAATGCTGATGATCAAAAAGTGGTGTTTTCAAAATGACGCCTTCTCAGAAATTATAAAACACCTTAATTTCAAACTAAAAATGAAGATACCTTCCCTGCCTGCACTGGGTCCTATTAACCTTTGGAATGAGTGAATACACAGAGTTCATTAAATTTGAATTTGCTTGGGTTTATTAACCAGCTGAAACATTTGACTATGCTAGCAATTATTTCCCTAACACATATATAAAAACCCTACAAAATGTGCTTACCATGTACATTGGGGACCCACAGAGTGTCGCCGCCATCATGTTGTTCTGAAGGTACCTGGCAAAGCCAAAGTCCGCTGCAGAGAGGGAAAGTGAAGGAGGGATGGAAGGAAGTGAGGGATAAAGAACAAGCAAAGGCACGAGAGGATGAGTTAACATATGGTGCCAGAAGCAAACGCAGCTGTATCTTCATACAGACAATGTGCAGATCCTGAGGATAATCACTAACTTTCCAAAGAAAAACTGCAGATGGATGCAAAAAAAGGAAAAGAAAAAGTCAACAGTGCTACAGGTTCCCAGCTGAATGCTCTATTTATTTTCAATACTATATATTATAATGCTCTCGCAATATTGGCTGAGACACAGACCTTCAATATCATTACCTGTGTGACGACAATGCAGCATTATCACACTGGAGCTCAAACACTTGGGTGTTATGGCTTGGTAAAGTACTTGCCAACCAGTACTTCTGGACAGTAGAACTTCATCAGTGATAAAAAATAATCAAGACAATTGCTGTGTAGCTAATTTTTTATGGGAATTATAGGCACAGCGAGAAAAACAAATGACTGTTGCTCAGTCATAATAAATATACAAAATTATATAAAACTTAAAACAAACTCTAAAGGTTACCGAATGTCCTTAAGCACCAGCAAACTGCCTATTAAACAAGGCAACAAATCATTTTCAGTAACCCCTGCCTCACTACTGATGCGTGTGTGTGTGTGTGTGTGTGTGTGTGTGTGTGTGTGTGTGTGTGTGTGTGTTTGTGTTTGTCTGTACCTGCATCTGTGTAGGTACAATGTGTGTATGTATGTGAACAGTTTGTTTGTGTTTGTGTGTGTGTGCGTGTGTGTGTCACTGAGCAGGTTTTCCAAGAGTCATGAGGATTATAACGTTCTGCTGTGACTGGGACTGAAACAAGCCTTAGACTTCACTCCCGCTGGGAAACCAATTCTCTCCAGGGGAAAAAAGAATTAATAGGCTCAAGGATTAGCAGAGTTTCCGAGCAGCTGAACAACACACACACTCTCTCTGTGCTCTGTCATGACAATTTTCATTATGGTGATTACTTGTTGTTACACACGTCAACTTTTTGGGTCAAATCAGTCAAACTGAAGATTTGATGAGACATCATGCATTTGTGAATAGGTTTTCTCTCTCTTGGTATTTTTTCAGTGATGTGCTTCATCAGAGGAAGACTGCAAACCCAGCTGAGGGAAAATTCTTCATATAATCTAATAAATTTCCTCTAACAAGTTTAGCTTCACAATCTTAGTGGAATCAATTACCTTGGGGAAATCATTATTAGCTCCTGTTGCAATAAAACTGGCTACACAGAGCTTTATTATGCTATAGGGATTTCCGTATGGAGCTTCATGAGATTCAATTAGTTTTCGCTCCTGTAGAGGGTTGTAGTGCTTTCCTGATAAATCACAATGTACACCCACATGCTGTAGTCTCACATCTGAAATGTTAAAACCATTTTGCACTTTAAATTTCTGACTTGATCTTTATATAAATTTTGCCCATATTAGTCAACAGATACTACAGGTTTAGAGCAAGCAGTGCTACATTTTATTTTCATTTCTTAAGACAATAATAACAGTCTCAACCAACAACACTGCCTGTTTATTTATTGTATATGTCTAACTTGATGATCAATCATTTCTTTCCATCTAAGTCATTTTTGCTGTTTATTCATATGCAGTACCTCCTACAAAAGGTCCTTATAGAATAAAACTGATGCCAATCCTTTTCACTCTGTTCACCCAATTTAAAAAAAAAAAAAAAAAGGCAACAACTGAAAACCAATGTTACACATGCACCGCTCATTCACATGTACCGTATGTACAAACAATTGCATGCTGTCACCTGCATGTACTTGCTCACACCTTCTCACACCATCAAACCTACCAATCTTGATGCAGGTGTTGTTGGAGTGCGACTTGCGTCCTGGTGGGTAGGAGAGCAGAATATTCTGGGGTTTGAGGTCCCTGTGGATTATGCCTTTGGCCTGTAGGACCCTCATGGCCCCTGCAATCTGCTGCAGGAAAACCCGGATAGTGTCCTCACTCAGTGTGCCTTTGGCTGCAGAGCAACAAGAGGTAAATAAATGAACACTTATTAAAACAACTTTGGTATACTAGGTACACAGTGTGATTCTCACATGCTACAATGCATGTAAAGGTACAGACCACAACACAAGTGTAGACATATCTGTCTCCATGTGTAGACAGATATGAACTGAATGACCCCTTCTCAAATCCAGGCGAATCACACTACTTTTCCTAACAAACACTGAAGTCAGCTCATGTTTACACAAACCAGACCATCTCATTTTACCTCTAAAATTACTGTTCAAGTATCTGTGTTGCCTGACATCACCCCACTGTCACCTTCTGCTCTTAGTTTCTTTTCCCCTCCAATCATCTCCCTCACCTCACAGTTGTACAGTGTGGTCCTATGTGAGAGTCCCTCCCTTGTCTTGAATTCCTGTCTTGACTCCGCCTCACTTCCAACAGATTTTTTTTAAAGCCAGGCTCAGGCTTGACTTGAGCCAGGAAAAAGTTTACTTCATTGACCACAGTGGGTAGTGAATCCAAAACCACTTGTGAAACTTTTTTTTTTTTTTTTAAACCAGGACAGCAATGACTATTATTGGAATAGGACCTCTATTTAGAGTTTGGGGACCTGGCAGACAAAGTTAGTAGGTAGAGCCATAATTTGTCAGTGAGTGGGTAGTGGCTGATGTCATATTTCCCACCCTGTCCTTACTGACACACAAAAGCTCACGTCAGAAGAGTTGAGTACTCTGGCTATTCAGAGCACTGTAATCTATGATCCTGGGCAGAAAAATAGTTTGCTCGCACTGTATTGACTCAAAAGCAAAGAGGCGATGTCCTCTCTGCATGATGTGATGCATGTCTCACATACTGAATCTATGATGAATAAAGACAGGAGAATACTTCAGGGAAGTTTCTCTGTGGTTTTATTACACTGTATGTCAACGTCTATTGTAAGCCTTAGGTACTCAGAAGGTCCTGAAGCTGTTAGTGAATCACCAAATTAGTTTCTGTCTTCAGGGCTCCAGACAAAAAGCTGCTTCCTACTGTCACACTACCTAAAAAAAAACTTGTGAATTGTGACCTGAATGGTTGCCTTGGAGCATACACTTCGTATTAGACACTTCCTACTGCGTATACTCTTTAAATCTTTGTGGCAGTGGAAGATAACTGAAAAATAATTCTTCCTCTTCTATAACTTAAAAAGCTGTTCCCTACCAGAGACCATTATTCTAGGACTCCAAGAAGATTTGACAAAAAAAATTTGAGAGTTGGTTTTATGGCTTAGATGAATTTACTAGTTGTTTTTGTTTTTTCAGTCTCAAATATGAGGCATTATATTGTTGTATTATAGTGCTTTTTAAAGCAATGTAAAGACATGAGAAATTATGTTTGAAAGCCAATAGGAAAGTGAACAAAGCAAGAACTGTCACCTTCCTGAGATTCACCCTTCACTGGTCATAATATACTGTACAATACTGCCATGACAAATTTGGATCTTGTAACTTCAATGGTTCCCTTCCTAAACAAATACTGACAAGAAACTTCACTTCAAAAGATTAATATTCACCTTGTTTGCATGAAAACATTTATATTCTTACTTTTGTTTTGTTTTTTTTTCTTTTTTATAGAACAAGAACTCTCGCTTCCTTGTCATCAAGCAACAAAGATGACATTTCACCATCAATTCCATTGATTATTCTACTGAGAAGCACCTGGAGCTTTTAGAAGATGAATTGTTGCACTTACAGTGTAAGTAGTCAGCAAGGTCACCCCCATTGCAGTACTGTCATTAGAAAGAGACAGGAAGGGAGGGAGAGAGGGAGCAACAGAAACAGAGAAAGAGGGAGATGAAAAGGTATAACATTAGGAGACACAGGTAACAATGAGGGCTGATGTGTAACCATAGTGAGTAAGTGTTTGACATCACCCAGACTCTGAAGGAACAAGAAAGCAAGAAGGATCAGAGAAGTGATTTGCTGAAGAGTGATGTGTTTACAGATTTATAACCCTGTTCTCATTCCCAGCATTAATATGAATGAACCCAGGGAAGGACGGGTGTGTTATGACAGGTGTGGCTCTGAAAGGCAGCTTCACAAGTCATTTCCTTCTCGAAGACAGAGATAACCAGGAAACGTATAATAATAAATGGGATGAGTTAGAGAAATGCATCTGCTGTTCCTTTCTGTGTGCTGCCTCTGTAACACTGTTTTTAAACAGCAATTACCATTTGTATCCAATTTGTATTATTGCATGACGTTTAGAGCACTTTGAAACTCTCTACTGAACAATACTTAACAACTTGGACACTGTGTCATCAATCCTGTTATGTAAATTATACAAATTATACACATTAGACACAATATTCACCAATTAAATGTCACAAATTCACCAACATTGTGCAATGTTTATTTGCTGTTTATTTTACTTTTCTTACTTTACATGGAGCCCAGGTAGACTACCACCCACTGGAAGTTAGAGGATACAAATAAAAATTAAATAATTTTTCTGCTTACGGAGACATTTCAACCATTTTCACATTTCAATTGAGCATCTACAATGTTGACAGTTTTTGCATGCTCACTTTTATGTTGGAGCTGTGTCTGAGCAAGCTATTGTGCTTAGGTGGTGATTATGCTAACACAATATTGCCTGTATCTTTACAACACACATTAACAGAACAAACCAGGGTGGGGATAATGTTTAAAAAAATATCTTGATGCATGGTTTGAAAAATACTGCAATTGGAATTGTGTTTGTTGTCAGAACAAGAAAGGCTGGCATGGCAAACGATTCCCACCATGCTTTGCAGGAATAATCAATATGTAACTATGATTTTAGGCACTTAAACTAGCTAGAAAAAAAATGTGTCAAGAAAAGAAACAAACCAAACTGTCAAGTAGTTAGAAGATTCACAAATATTATTTTACTTCTGGCTCTTCATCAGGGAAAAGAAATCAAGCCACAGCAAAAGCAAATAAACTAGCAGCATTTGGAAGCTGACTGACAGCCATTTACCCCCACTGATGCCTGAGGATACAGCTAATTATAGCCCGGGCCCTGTCAGAGCTGCCTGCAAAAGCTGAGACAATACAGCGCTGTTCAAACAAAGCAAAACATCACAGCAAGCCTTACCTCCATTACCAGGTACACTGAGCTGGCAGTTTCCTAAAAGGGGAAGAGATAAGAGGGGACGTAAACAAACACATGTCAGTGACAGACAAAGGAAGGAACAGGTGGTACTTGTGCTCGCCAATCATGTCCAAGCAAACTAAGCTGGTGATTTGGATTGGAGAAAAACACCACAGCCTAAAGGATTGCATAAAAATTCAGGATGGAGGTTTACGGATCAGTGATAGTGGAAAAAGAGAAGTGAAAGTGAAAGATAGAAGCCAGCTATTACTGACCAAAACCATCAAAGCTGTCACAGCTTTGGTCAGTAATAGTCTGTTAAAACGTTTTCTAAAACTGGATCTATCACAGAGTCCTGAAACACTGTTTTTTTATGTGGCCTGTTCTACAGTGTGGCACTCTGCATATGTTTGCATAAGATATAAAAAATAAATAAATATAAAAGTAAAAGCTTGCCTGCCTTTAGTGAGAAATGTGAAAACAACCCACAGTTCTACATTAATACTGAGCCAAAACAATTAGGGAATCAGAGCAGTTGGCTCAGCTGTCACCAGCATTTTTAAAACAATGAGTAAATCAGAGAGAGAGCAAGTGAGAGACAGTGAGAATTACTCAACTGTCTAAAAGGCTAATTCATAAGTTGCCACAACAACACCATAAAAGGCTGTTCATTTATAATACTAAACAATTTGGATAATTTTGAAATTGCATATTTGGGAGATCAGTAAATCTTCTAATGTAATTTACTTTCTTTTACTATCCTCTCTTACAGACAACCTGTCTGAGGCACAAGTTTTGGAAAAACAGAGTGCAGTTCTCTTATCACATGGCAACAGATGACTGTGGTCTCTCACTCTGACCCGATCTCAATATCTTGTTGAATCCACCAGACTGTTTTCTATAGTTCAGCTGAGTCAGGCTTTCTTTAATTGGTTGTCTTTGGTTTTATTGAAGATGGACAGCAACCAACCAGCCAGCCAGTTAGTTTCAGCCAGTAAGTCAACCACCTGGTTTCCACAGGCTGTCTCTGCGCGATGACTTTGCAACCAAAATTCAAATGACCCCATGCACAACAGTTACATACAGTTACAGAGTGAATACTGGGTCATTTTTCTGCTATCAACTATTTCCTGGTTCACAAGCTGGAGCGATGTCAGTGAGGATTACAAAGGCGCTGTGTGTTTATAACTGAGTGAAAATGTGTCTCTTAACTAAACATTACATTACTCTGCTGAGTTGGTCTATCTGCTATTTGCTCTTGCTCAAAACCTGTTTAGAAACAGGAACTTGTTGCATTGCTAAAATCCTCTGGTGCTTTGACTGTCACATTAGTGTCTGCCTGAGACTAGAACAATATAATTACTCAACTCTCAAGGTAATTTTAAGTCACTTTGTATAAGACAAATGGATAAAATGTGAAAGGCAAAAGTAAAAGACATTTCTCTGGTGTCCAGTGTTTGTTTGGTTTCAGTTTCCTCCTGACCTAAATAGATAGCTGGATGGTAGGATCCCCTACCCAGAACATCTCCACTCTCTACCGCTGTGTGACAACAACCCTGTAATCTTACAGCCCAGCTCAGACTATCCTCGATGCCCAGAGAGAAGTGCCACTGTGAGTAGGTATGAAGATAAGGGAGTGGAGTATTTTGGTGTTCTGCATGGGCAAAGACACGACAACTGGTTGCAAATATTTTTCTTGAAGATATTGATGAAGGGCTCTAGTGCATAGTAGTTAAATCCGTATTTGCTACCAACACAACAAGGTGACTATACTGCTTTGTTTGAGCAGCTGAATGTAAGTGTCATTGGTCATGACTTGTCTGTTAGTCTCTTTGCGTGATGACTGAGCTTTCTGAAAATAAAGATAAGGCTAGGTGATGAAAGGTCAACTTGAATCAATAAAACAAATCTCTAGGTCTGGTAATGAAACCTACAACATCTGCTCTCAACCAGACTTCATAAGCAGTTTTCAAATATGAGATCTCATATGGGGTAAAAAAAAAAGAAAAAAGAAAAAAAAAAAAAAAAAAAGAAGTTCAACAGCCCAGCAGTGCATCAAATTTAAGACAACAGTGACACCAGAAGTCTTTTAGTGAAAGAATGATAAGAAACAGTAATGCAGTGGGTTGTATGTCTGCACTACTGCAACACTTCTTTTCTTTTTTATAAAGCTTAAACAAAGACATTGTTCTTAACAAGTTTCACCAAAAGCAGAACATGCCCGGACTATTAATGAACCACTGTCATTTTGCAATATTGTCGTGCCAGATGTGACAGTTAGCATAATCTGAGCATTAGATGTTTTTGACCAGATGGCAGTGTGTCAGCCATGCACCAAAAAGACAAAAGAAACACCTGGTGAGTTAAGATAGATTGTGTGGAGGTTGTGCTGTCTCAACTATCTGGGAGGGGTTACCAAAGCGAGCTTCAGACCAGTTACAGGCAAGAACATCATTCTGCTATGGGTTCTTCTATGTTTGTATTTATTCACCCTAGGCACCTGACTTGTGCCAGGAAAAGGGGGGTAAACCGTTGGACAAGAATACTTTAGGCAAGTAAAACTGAGACTGGCAGGAACAGGGCATGTGACTGTAGACAAAATGTAAACAAGGGAAATGATGACTAGGGAACGATGATGTTCAACAAAAGACAAATGCTGAAGTATTCACTGAAATTTTACAAGGATTGACAGTACGCGGAGGAGCAGAAGAAAACGTGCTTGAATAGGATGAAACAAACTGTTTTTCAGAACAAACAAATGTAGCAAAGCCTCATTTAACAAGTAGGGTAAACAAAACAGTTCAAGCTACACGAGACAGAAGTGGGTCATGTGGAACAGACACATTCAACAACCCATCTGCTCTACTTTGTGAACACAGACTGATGGGGAAGACCTGATAGGACCGTAAAAGGTGTGATGATAATGTAAGTAATCAGAAGCCTTGACAACCCCCTTACATTATCTAGATGCCATTTGTGAGTGTAGTATAACATACCTGAAAGTCCAGTAATGCAACAATGTTTTCATGCTTTAGTTCCTGCAGGAATGAGAAGGAAAATCATTGTTTACTTCATATATCCTTTATTCTTCAAATGTTTGACTTCAAATAGATGTCAAGCTTGACTTGTACAATCATTTAGGCCCCCCTGTTGTACCAGGGAGATGTAAGATGTAACATCTGCCACCTATCCAGCGCTATATAGTGAATCATTCAAAACAACAGAATATGGTATTACCACACCACCAGGCAAATGTTGTATTAAATACAGATTGAAACAGCTTGAAAAATCAAGGTGACAAATTTGATAGGAGAAACATCAGTTATTCTGAATACTTTGTGTCCTCTGCCATTGTGGACACTAAGTATTGTTTATTTGCCCTGGATTCCATTTTCAGTTGTGTTTTATGTGTTCCTTATAATAATGTTTTAAGTAAATATAGTAACATAATAACTGAAAACCAGGATACTCTTTGAAAAGAGTAATTTCTCAGAGGTTGTGACTTACCTTGAGTATTTTGATCTCCTTCCCCAACAGTGTCTGGGATTTGGCCAGGTTCTTCTTGTTTATGCATTTTACTGCCACCTCCCAGTCATGTTTCTAGAAGGACATGTTACATACAGAATCAGTTTTGTTGGATGAAACTAATGCAATGCAAAGTATTAGTTACACTGTGTCTTCGCTTGGGAAATGAGAATCTTCTATCCTTGCACTAGTACAAATGCCAAAATCTGTCAGTATGTACAACATTATTTTTTCGACATGTCTCTGCACAGTTCACTATAGGATTCTACCACATTTATAACACTAGGATATTCAAAGTGTTGTACTGAAGCACATATTTGTTGATTAACACTGAACTGTCTATATGCTTCTCTCCTTCATGCTGTTGGTTAAAAGGGTTTCCTAATGGAATTTTGTACTGATTGCTTATCACCTGCTGGGACTGTAATCAGCCAGGAGGTCCAGTTACTATTAGGCAGTTTTGCAGTGTAGCCTGTGACCCTTTACCTAAACTATATTTCCTATAGTCCAATGCAATATGCCCTTGTTAGTGCATTTTCTCACCATAAAGCATATTTGAATGTACTGTATTATATATGTATTGCAGTATGTGTTGTTTGAAGCCATTATCCTCATATTATTATGGATGAAATTTATCTGTATGCCAATTTACTAATGGAGCAACAAAGATGCTACAGGCCTGTGCCTTAGAAGATGTGATGCATGATGTGTCATCAAGTCATTATAGAGCTGTTAGAATTTATACTCTTTCACTACAAGTATAAGACATGTTTCAACATGTTTATTGGTGGCCTCAGTATGGAGCTTGCTAATGGAAACAATACAACTCTGCTGGCCTATATTTACATTTGCCACAACCATAGATGTGAATTATTTGTATTATCAGTCTGTTGAAAAGTAATGACCCTGAAAAAGTGACAATCGTACTTTCAGAATATATATATGAGTATTTTAAAAGTATTTCAGCATTTTATCCATGAACTGCCTGTTATTTTAAGGAACATCCTGTATGTGCACCCAGGCCTCTTAAGGCCGTACGATGAAAACAAATACACCAGATGGATAATAAAAGGCGATTCAAGCCTAACAATACAACCAAACCATTCAAACGACCCTTTATTTCGTCTACGTTTGCAATGATATACATTCAACAAAAAAAGTAAAATCGATAGTGGACAGGGACTGTACTGACCTCTCGATGCCTGCCTTTGAAGACGACAGCAAATGCGCCATGTCCTATCAAGTCCTTCCGACTGAACTCAAATTTCCCCACCGTCTCCATATTGTGCCAAAGTCTGATTTTATACTACAAAGACTTGGACAGATGACCAGGAGACCCCAGGTCAGCCTTCGTGTTAGCAAGTGCTCCTTTCTCCTCCGTAAAGTAGGGGCAGCAGCAGGGATGTTCACCCCCTCTTTCACTCGCCATGGGCTGCCTTCCTGACAACAAACTGTCGTCTTCTCTCATGTTCGCTCGCACAAGTTTTGGAGTTTAACTCCTAACAAAGCTGTGTGGTCGTTTCCATCTCTGACAGCGACGCCAACACTAAGTTAGCTAACTTGACAAACGGGAATCGGACGAGCCTTGTTGTTACAGCAGTCCCTGACGTGCCACCTTAAAAAGCAGCTCGCTGCGTTTTGTTTATATACAAGAGGACTTCACTTGTGTCGTCTGACGCGTCCGCACGGCGAAACGAGCGCTGACTGTGAATTTAAACGAAATTACCAATGTTGAGTAACCACAATAGACTACGAATATCCACCGTTACCGCTTGCAATTAGCAGCTAATTCGCTAAAAGTCACAGCATCGATAGTCCCAATAAGGCAGACGGTGTCTAGCCTCTGCAACAGAGCGCATGCGCAGGGCAATTACAGATGTAGATTTGACGTCAGCGGACCAGGGTCCTCAGCGGTCTCCTGTCACAAGATGAACGTTTGTTTTGTCTGAACTAGTCTAAACTAGTTTAGACTTAAAAATGAAAATATAATAAAATAATATTAAATACATCTGGCAGATAGATTTTCATGTCGTCACGTTTTTCTAGCTACTGATGTCTAGGAATCTTTGTCCTGAAGTAATGAGGAAACAAAAGAAAAAGAGATTTCATAGATTTTGTTTTAAGTACAAACGATAAAATTGAACTGATTATTTCTTTTAGATTGAGAGGGATGCCAATGATGCCATATTCCCTTGATGAGAGTTCGCTGACCGCAAATGTATTTTTATTAACCTCACCACTAGGTGGAGAGATGGACTATCATAATAATCATTATCATCATCATTGTCATCGTCATGGGCTGTGAAGGGCAAGTTTCCAATACCAGTTGAAAATCCACTTCTTCTGTAGTGTGTAAAAGTGACAGTTTGGATCATTATTGGTTGTATTGCAGTTTTAAGAAAGAAGAAAAAATCTAAATGTGTTTTGAAACTCACAGCCGAGTAGAGAGAGAGATTGTGTCTAGGGAAAATAAAAGAAACAGGAGTATAGGGAGTAGAAAGCACGCAGAACTGGGGCAAATGGGGGGAGGAGTGAGGAGAAGGAAGACTGTTGAAAGTTTAAATGGAGAAAAATGATGAGCTAGAGTATGAGACAGAAGCCAGAGGGGCCACTTACAGGAAAGAATCAGAGAATGTGGGAAGAAATGATAGCAGATATGGAGCAGCTGCAAATGGGAGAACGTCAGAGAAATGGATGAAAACCTGCAGGGAGAGGATGACAGTGACCAGTAACCTGTAACCTTTATTTGTGTCTGTGTAGTGACCATTTAACCAACTTTTAATTCGTCTGAACAGGCAACTTTTCAAAGGCTCTTTTAAGGCTGGAGGATATCTGCGTGAACATTAAGTGACAGAAAAATGGAGGCCTTTTAAAGCAAGGCAGAGGAGGAGAAACGGGCTGCTGAATGTAAATAAGCAAAATGATGAGATCATAATAAATGGAAATAGTTTAATTTGTACACCATTTATAGTGTTACTGCTTCCCCAAGGGTAGACTTATGTTTTTGTCTCATTTCAGTCTTACTTCCTCCTTTGAATTGACCACAGACACATTGACCTACTTAGAATTTCTCTCCCCAGTAGCGTTAACTTTTCCTCTTTCATGATGAGGAGCAGTAATATAAGTTGGTTTCAAACTGGAGTCATAGGATCACCTGTGATTTTAGTGGCTGTTTCTTAACTTCAGTTTATGTGTATCATCCAGTCAACATGTACATCCCTGATCATGACCTTCAGTCTAATCATAGACACAGGACACTCCTTTAATTGTGTTGCTTTCAAGAGTTAAATGAGGCTAAATTAAATCTAAGATATTTTTGATTTTGTTTGGTTGAATGATTTGATGCATTTCTGACGACCACAGCATCCGTCATTATCATGTTAGATTAATTATTGTCCTTGAGAGGAAAGTTTTTCCGCTGTCAGTTGCAGATGATAAATGTGCACATAATTTAATATTACATCCATAGCAAAAACACTGTGATGTGTATTCATAACACAAAATGTTCAGTTGTTCAGCACATGTATGGCAGAAGGAACAAACCTTTCGCTAACACCTATTACAAATTATGTAATATTTCAAATGTTGATCTTGACTGTGGGCTTCACAGATTTTTTCAAACATATATGAGGCAGTTCATCTGTGTAGGAGTTCATGGATTAGTGTTTTGCACACTTTCTATATATTATACTACCAGAGGAGGGCAATAGAGGACTGTACAAGAGACCAGGTCTGTGGTTCACTGCTTTCAGACAGTGATGTGAAAACATCAAGGAAAACTCATAATCTTAAGTCATTTTGTCATCTTGCTATATCTCACTCTCTGGATATTAGTTTTCCTAAAAAATGAAATAACATAACAAACATTCACTCAGGAAATAAATATAATAAAATAATCAATGTCAGTGTTGTGGAATACCTGGAAACATTGTTATTAAAACATCTTTTGAGTTGCAGAAACACTGTTACCACATTGTCAAATGTCAATTATGTAAAGGAAGACATTTTTTTTTAGGAATTCAATTTTCTGACTCATAGTGGAGGGACCAGTACAATTTACTTGAAGCATCCCACTCTCTGCCCACTCTCAGTCTCACTGGAAATCTGATATCAAAGGGCTACTGCTGCTGCAATTTAACAGATATAAGTTCAGTGACCACCAGTTATTGTGTAATGCCTGTGCAGTATTGTCCAGCAGTGCTGCTTCATGTCATAAGGAAATCCTGAGCCTAGAATCGGGCTACATTCACAGTGCTGTGCAGGTCTGCATAATGATGCACCGCTGACAACAGGCTACGGCTGCTGTGCATGTATTCATGTCTATAAAAAAATATATTAATTCAGTGTTTACTCTTCTCCTTTTCAGTGGAGTGAGTGTTTCAGTGTGTCAGAAAGTTTGACTATACAGGACAGTTGGTGTATTTTGCTGTAAGCGGCCCACCAGCCACTGTCGCAGGTGTCCACTCTGCAGGGGTTTGCTCTGGTTTTGAATATTTTAGCTGCTCTGTGGTTCCTACAGAATGATTGATTGGTTCCTCCTGGCCCACATTAAGTCTCTGCTGGTGATAGTTGGTGCAAAGGCCTTCAGGTGTTCACTCTGGCTACAGAAGAGACTCCTAATGTGTCCTAATATACTTGCAAAACTGCATACAGACTAAATGTAAGTTGCCTGTTAAATTACAATTTAAATGGAATTTTGTAACACATACTATATTAGACATCTACAGCTTCCGTATCTGCAATAAGACTGACACACACGCGCACACACACACACACACACACACACACACACACACACACACACACACACACACACAGTGGTACCTCAACTCATCACGTCCATGCAAGGGCAAAATGACCTGTTTTATCAGGACACACTGTGTAATGAATTTTAACAATGGTCAACCACACTAATGATAATTCAAGGACAGCTATGCCTGTGAAAAAGTACATGACTTCAGTTACAGATAGAAAGTAAATAATCTTAACTGTATTAATTTTTTTTGCAGCACATGGATATATCCTTCATTAGGAAAGAAATGAATGACGGGTTTGTTGTGTGTGCTGTGTGGGGACATTTTACCTGTTAACACGATGACATTGTGAGGACTTACCTCCCCTCTGGTGACAAAACCTTGTCCCCACAAGGTAAGTTTAACCATTTAGTGTTATCTGTTTTTTGGTTACATTTAGAATGACAATATAATTCCTCAAATCTGAGAGAAACAAGAGTGTGTGAATGTGTGTGCATGTTTGTAGGCCTGAGGATAGTGTAGACTATCTCTTCATCTTGTCTTTTCACACAGCTGTTTTTCATATTAAGCCATCTATCAAGCTTTCTACATGGACATTGAGCATCTATTTTTTTAATTTAGCCTACTGCACACACCATCTTTTTTAAAAAAAAAAAATCCATTTATATATTTAATATTTTTTCATTTTAGCTACATACCTTGCACATTATAAAACATGTTTATTATGAGAGAACTTTATATCCTTGACGGTGGGCTAAAAGCAGCCATCTCCTACAAGGTCAGCCTTCACTTAGCTAACACCACGTGTTGTGGCATTGTGCCCTGCTCATCTCTTCAGCCGAACATCGGGACATATATATAGTATATATATATATACTATCTGCTTGGTGAAAAAGGTGCACAGCTATATGATAGTCAACATTTTCATTAAGATAGAGAGCTACAAATCTTGCCACCCACCTGCATGTCTTGCATTGAAATAAACTTTTAAGACCACTTTGCTTGGGAAGGAGCTGTACAACACACTGTCTACCGACATAATATGAAATTCACTTTAAGGGCGAATCATTCTCATCATAACTGAATGTATCAGTTTTCTAATAACAGTCTACAAAGACGCTTAATAGAGAGCTGGATATATAACAAATTAAATTGCTGCCAGTTATTATTATCTCAAAAATCGCACGTGTTTGCACATACTTACACACCTCTGAATTATTCACATGCAAAGCAGTACACCTTGTTTGCTTTGAATGCATTAATGAGTCACGTTGGACTTGTTTCCTGTTGGATAATAAATGAGAACAGTGAGCTTTAGAAACTTGTGTGTTGCTGTTTTATCTGGACTGTATTAAAGGCCTTCAGGGCGTTTCACAGTCATCACCCAATAAAATGTGTCAGTTTGTTCACCAGAGAAAGGCCAGAATGACGGTCCAGTGAGATCAGGAGTGTCTCTCCTCTCATCCACTGACCCGGTATTTTGCTTTTTTTGAAAAAACCCTCTACTTCATTTTGCATGGCAGAATAATGATGAAATTACTGACATTAGTCAAAAACAAAACTCTAAAACTTCATAATAACCTGTATATTTTGACAGTGTTACTTGCAGATTTGAGGCATTTCTTGTTATGTGCGCTTTCAGTTCCCTCATGACATTTCAGCTCCATACATTGCTTGTACCCTGCATCTGTTTTTGCTGCACTAGTCCACACATGTTCCATCAAGGTGATGTCTCTCATGTCCTGCAGTGTCACTTCATCACACCGGACGACAGGACTTGGAGGCAATGCCTCTACTCAAACTTCAGCTGCGTAGAAACGAGCCGGCGCACCCTTCCTTCCTGCCGTATCCCCTGGTTTGTGTGGGCAAGAGTTGAATTCAATATGACCTTTTGTGGAATGTGACGGCAGAGAGCTGCCAGAGATCTGTCTGAGAAGTCTGCCAATTCTCCCACCATGAAAGCTTGAAACAGCTCCTTCTGCTGACCCCCACCCAGCCCCCACCCTCTCTCGTGCATCAACAAGGAACTGGGCTCTTGACAGCATCACTTTTCCACAGTGCAGTGACTGAGGGAACAGTATACTTTGGTGCGTGGACACGCATGATTACGTACACAAAGTGTTTAACAGAGGACTCCACAGGTCAGTTCTTCTGCACAGGCTATTGGCATTGCATTTCATCTTACTATAGGAGTCTGGATTTTGTGAGTTTGGCATCTGTCTGCCAAGGAGCCTCACAAGTTATATGAAAACTGTTGAAACTTTTCCTCAGTTTCCAGTGGATTCTTATATATATTTTTAAAAAAAAATCTACCAGTTAGTAACTTTTCTACAGATGTCAGCCATAGCAGTCCAAATGTCTGCCTGCGCGCCTATTTCTCTTTCATTTCTTTGTCTGTTTTTTGATTTTTCTGTATGCTCCCCTCTAAAAACCCAAACTTTTTCATCAGAGCTGTCAGTGGTTTTTGTTGAGGGTTTCTTCCAGATATCGTGGTTCATTCTTCATGAAGTTCCTATGAAAAGTACTAGAATAAAAGAAACAAAAGATGATTTGTAATACAATGTTTGTATGTGATGTGTGTATGTTTTTTGCAGTCATTAGTTGGGATTAAACTGTAGGCCCTCAAACATGGAAAGAGTCACAGATCAGTGGCCTCAGGAGACACAGAAGTCTTGAGTTTAATGCAAACCTGACTAAATAGAAATAGACAGTTATGAGACAGAAGGACCAATCAAGACCATCAGGTTATAATGTATTAATTAAATACAGTCAATGTAGAACCGCTGATAAAATGAAAGGATTTTTGAAAAAGTAGTAACCTAAATTAAAAACTAACTAACTAAAAAACACTTCCCTCATCAAATAACTTCAGTGTATACACAGTGCTAAAACTTTTTGGAATTGGTTTGTTTAGAACAGCAGCTGAAGTAGGATCAGTGGTCAAACTGCTGAAAAGTGACCCGTCTTGCTGCATTCGCCCCCGGGAGCAGGTGCTCTCCCGGTGGCCGCCGAGTCACACCAGTTAATTAACACCACTCAAGTGTGTCAAGAGGAGGGAAGAAAAATTGCTGCTCTTAGTGGTGTCACACCTCGACCTGCACGGCGTGACAACAGGGAGATGCTGGGGGAATAACAATGAATTCATTTTAAACTAATGTGGAATTTTAAAAAAAAAGTATATTGAAAATCATAACAGTACAACCTATTACAACAAAACACAATGGAAGTTGTTAATCTCAGAATAGAATGAATTTGGAGAATAGAAAATGCACTTGTAAATAGAATAATAAACAATCAAGCAAGAGGCTCATTACTGCGGAAATAGTGGTTGATGCTTTTTATGTGTGCTTATTTTAGCTCAAAACAGAGTGAAGTGTGGTTGTACAGGATTTGGTGGGGGTCATCTTCAACCTCTTAGTTAACTGAAGTGAGAGTGAAACCTATGGCTGACATCAGGTTTTTGTTCATTATTCCCAAGCACTTTTTTTTCACTTTGAGCTGCTGGAAATTTGTGGATCAGGTGATATTACTTCACTAATTTTCTTCCCTTTAAAAAAATGCTATATATATATATATATATATTGTGCCAATCTGTTCATAAAGCCACTCAAAAGTGTGAGTGTGTGGTGTGATTGACACAATGTGCTTTGCATTCCTGGTGAACAGCAGTGACCATTACAAGAGAAAACATGCTTAAGAACATCAGAGATGGAGAACATCTCCCAGTTGGTGTCTGCAAGCTGTCATGTTACCTTCATCTGTCTTCAAGCCCGGGCTCCTTTTCAATGACACTAAATAATTACACACTCGGCCCTCACAGCTGCAAGACTGAGCACTCTAAATAATCTGTCCTGATATGAATTCATGTGACCACACATTTGCCCGATAAAGTCATTCAGATTCTTTTATTTTTTTACAAAAATATTTTACATTAGAAAACACAGCTTGAAATATACACAGTCCACTTGGTTTTGCAGGAACCATGGAACATCTTGACTCAAATATATCTGTGTCTATACTTAAACTGTAGGTAAATATATCAGCAATAATAAATCCGGTTGCTATCTTGTGAGGTCTGCGAAGGACGTCACCAGTAGGAGCTTGGATTGATGAAGAAAAGGCTCAGTGAACTATAATCTGATCAAAGCAATATGGAATCACAATCTATCCATATTCAATACAAAAAATACAACAAAACCGATACTGCCTCTGATAGAGGCAGGGAATGCTTCTGTATCGGGGGTGAAAGTGATAAATTCATGGAGATACATGAGCAGCAGTTCCTCGAAAAGCGTGGGGAGCACGGGTAAGGGATTTAAGCGAAGATAATGACGTTAAGCGACATTAAGAAAGTCTGGGATCTTAACTCTCTGTCTAACAGGAAATCATTCATTTGTCTCACTTCCCACATCCCAGCGTGCCCTTTTCTCCACGTAGCTGCACTTAATGGTATTCACCTGTCTACCTTTTTGAAGCCCTGGGCGCCATTCATCTACCTGTCGACATCCCAGCATGCCATTCATGTGTCATCCTGTCAACACCCCATGGGGCTGTTCATCTGTAAGCCTAACTATCTATCTACACTAAATCCCAGGGTACTTTTCACCTGTCTGCCTTGATACATGCCCAGGTGTCAGTTACCTGTCTAACGATAGTATCTGTATTTCCGAATGTCATTCTTGCCCTGGTTTAAGTCTTTCAGGCTGCTCTACCTGTCAGACTGAGTTAAAGTCCTGTCTCTTTCTTGAGGATTGGTGGAACCAAACCCCAACTGTGGCCATAACCTTAACTGTAACTGAAACCAACCAATTTCATTGGTGGAGAATGCTGGGATGCAGTAAGCAGCTTGGCAGAAAGGTCTGCTTGCCAGGCACAATTTAAAGCAATAGTCAGACAATTTGGGGAATATGCTAATTTACATTCCTGCCAGAAGTTATATTAATATAGAAGCTTAGCTTGGCCTCACATAAAGCCTGGAAACAGGGAGAAACAGTTAGCTCTGTCTGAAGGTAACACAATCTGCCTACCAGCACACAACTACCTGTAAAAACTAGCACTCTTCATTGTACACTGTTTTTGTATGGACTAGATAAAATGTGATCATTAGCTTTAGAGGCGTTGTTGGGTGGAATGAGTTCCTGTACCTTTGGACCGAGCCAGGCTATAGCTGTTTCCCTTTGTTTCCGGTCTTTATGCTAAGCTAAGCTAACCAGCTCCTGGCCATCACTTCATATTTAGCGTACAGACACGAGAGTTGTGTCGATCTTCTTGTCCGACTCCCAGTAAGATTTTTTCCCAAAATGTGGAATTATTCCTTTAAGGTAAAAATGTACCTTTTAATCAATGTCTATCTGCTTACATCCCACAATGCCATTCATTATTGCTGTAAACTTGAACATGAAAAAAGTAATTATCATCAGTGTGTGGTGCAGAAAACTGTTGTAGATGTGAACAGTTGATGTTGATCAGTCCCACTCTTTCCTTTCAGAGACAGTTTAGTCACTCAAGACGGTAAAGAATAGAACTTGTGATTCTGTGTAACTCAATCTGTAAAGTACGGTACTAGCACTGTTATTGTCAGTGGATTGATGATTACTAGGGATACCCTAGTGTAATAACATGATAACTGTATGCACTACTCATACTGCAAGGCGCTTTAGATGACCACCAAATGGCATGTGAAATAAATAACAGCAAAATAATAGCAAAACATACCAATTGATATTTATATGAACAAAATTTTTAAGTTTGTATTTAGTTTCCACTGGCCCTCCACGAGTGAGTCTCTCTCTTGTACCCAACTTGAGAACTTTGTCCCATGCTTTGGCATCATAGCAGTTCAGAGCGGAGGGCCAGCGAGAGCGTCCAGAGTGGCGGCAGGAGCCAGATGGGAGATGGTGAGGGGCGGACGCCCAAAGGCGAGGCGGTGTCAGAGGTGCAGGAGCAAACCTCGTATCCATTCTCTGCGTGGTCTGGGTGATGGTGCCCGTTGATTCTCGTCTCTGTGCTTTTGGGCTCTGTGTCTGGAGAGTCCGACTGCATCTCGGTGCACAGCAGCCAGTCCTTAGCGATGAGGCGGGGGTATCCTGGCTCCACCTCCATGTCACTGCCCGGCACTCGCCAGTACTCCTTCCCCTTGAAAAAATAGGACGAACCTTGACGAGAAGAGGGAAGAGAAAGGGTTGTTATTAGTGTGTGCTATGAGATTGAGACAGAACAACAAGGATCAGAAATCAATTTAATATGAAACTCATCACATTCTGTTGTCTTTGCCCTTAAGGCAGACCAAAGCACAACAATGATGCATATGAAGTATTAAAATACAGTAAAAAGAAATACATGAGCAGGCTTATCCAGAAAGACTAATGTATAACTAACATTATGGATGCTCTTTTGCTCCTTCCTTTAACTTATTTTTGCTCTCCCTCCAGCATTGTTCTTATCATGCCAGTCATTTCCTCTCATCACTTTTCTTATCCATCTCTTAAACCTGTGATTTCTCTGTTGCTTCTGTCTCTCCTTAACACTCTTCTGACTCACTGTTCAGCAGTGACGAGTTGTCACTGCATCTTCCTCACTTCACCTCTGTCTATTTCACTGTTTTTCTCTTCATCCTAGGCTTGAGGAAGCAGCCTGAAAGCAGATAAAGGCTTTGATGTGGCTCCAGCTCCCTGGTCCAAAGGTGTGGATATATGTGAATATGTGTATTCTTCTTTATATACAGTACATGCTTGTATTTGTATGTGTCTTTCCATAGAATTGTGGATTTTGTTGGGGCTGTCCCCTCTTTTGGATTTGTCTTGTTCCCACTCACACGTACACACACATCAAAGAGCTTGGAGCAGGACCTGTGAAGCTGGCGAAAGCTCAGACACAACACAGACCTCTAAACAACCAACAGGGAAAAGAGCTTCCACACATTCAGCTGGGAGCTGCCGCAGGGGAGAGAGGTGATGTTGCTTGCTCCCATTGAGAGTGGCCTGAAACAAGGACTGAGTACCTCCTGCTAATGAGTTGTTTTTGTGCCAGTTTTCAACATCTACATGTGTTTTTATTAAGGCTTAATCTGGAGAACTGGTGGAAGCATCCCTTAGAGGAGATTTGCTTGGTAAAGGCAGCCAAAACAATGCAAGCTAAAGTAAACATTAATAATCCCTATGGGAAGCATGTCCTCAGCATTTGACCTATCATAATTGCTTAGGAACAGCAGGCAACCTTTCTCTAGTGCCTGGGGGCCGACTCCAGATCAGAGGCTCTTATCTAGTCAAAGGAAATGGCAGGAACATGCTGATATGATAAGTTGAAAGTGTCATTTTCTTAGACAAAGCGATCACAATATATGATTATATCTCTACAATTGTTCAGTCATAAAATTGATTTAATACATTACATTACAGGCCAAAAACAGTATTTTTGCAAAGTTTCTATTTATGTAGAAAGGATACATCAAATATGGATGTATGGCAAGTTTTCTTTTTGCTGTGCATTACTGCGTTCAAGATTTATGGCAGAGTGTAAGTTTGCCTTGAAATATTTTGTTATAAAATGCCTTTATGTGTCAAATATGACAGCTCATTACAGAATAGTAGCACAACTAATCAGTCTAGGGTTTATAACTATGAGTTTATAACAGTATAATAACCAGTACATAACACAAGCAAAAACAGATAAAGTTAAACAACAAAATAATGCTTATTCAAGTCAAACCACATCACTGACCTTTCAGACTTCGCAGGGTCAAGAGTTAACACACTGACTATAAGTAGTTTACTGAATAACATCAGCAGCTGTTTAATGAACTCTTAACGTCCTCCTCCCTTTATAATTAGAATAGGAAACAACCAAACTTTAATGTGCACATGTCACTTGGATTACCATAACAACATGCAATAGTGGGTTACAATCAAGCATGACAGCTCATTTTACCCTTCAGCACCAGAGCAATTGATTTGTTGACTGCCAGTGACATGCAATATTTGGTCTGTGTTTGAGTCTCACTTATAAAGTGGAACTAACGCTGGCATTCTGCTGTGACTGAGAGGATTACACTGGATTTATAAAGAACATATGGGTTTAGATGTTTAATTATCTAGTTTTAAAGGTATTTTAAATGTATAAAAATAACTACAGCCATATATTTTGTTCCCTTGTGTACTTACATCATCCCAAATATTTCCAGCAGTTTCCAAACCTAGAGAAATCCATAATTTTAATCAAGGTAACGGCCCGTTTCATTTGGTCGCCTGTCAATTGCCCCAAGCCCAGTGCACCTAGATCCACCATCTAACCTTGCATGATTTGGTTTCTCTGAGTGTATAACTGAAATCTGCTATATTTTAATTCGATCACTCAGAAAGCAGTCAGCCACTGAGCCTCTCTTCTGATTGGCTCACCGACCTGTTAGAGCTACTATAGAGCTCTAGAGAGGAGCTAGAGACAGGAGATGTAAAATTACATTGAGATGGTTTTTGGTTCTTAAATGCACAAGAATTTCTTCTTACAACTTCCAATAAAACACCGTCAGTGAATCACTGATATTTAACATGAAATGGCTTTATTCTGTGTTTCTACCAGTTTTAATCACATGGTCCATTTGATTTGGAGAGGAGGAGCAGATAATCCGGCTTCCAGTAAAAACCTCCTGAACAAGTGACACTGAAGGAATCCTAACTGGGAGTAGCTAACTGCAATGATAGCAATGGTGGTGAAGACGACGGTGAACAACTCTCATGATCCCACACTACTTTACGACGTCACCAAACACCGTCTCTTGTTATTGTTTTGATTGACTAGATCAAGGCAGAAGTTACATTCTGTGTGTTTAAGAGAATATCGTACAGCCAAGTAATGAGTAAACATAAATCTGATGGCCGGTTTGAAAAAAGTAGTTCACACAAATCAATTTAACTCAATAAGGTGAGTCTAAATGGATTTTTTTCTTTCTTGTTGAAAGCATTGAAAAATATGTCCTTGCTGTGAAAATGTCCTTCATTACTTTTAATATTATTCGAAACTTTCAGAGACCAGGATAATAGCTGCCTTCTTGATTTATTTCATATTTTGGTACTAATTAAGTCTTATACTATTATACTCCACATCCTCCTATGCTGCACAGTAATTAAATCAAGTTATGAACCAGGCTCTTGGTTTCAGCCTATTTAGTCAGAGAGTCTAAATCTCAGTGCGCTTATTAATTAACTTTTCGAGTTCTAACTGTGAGAGAAACATCAGAACAAATAAGCTGCAGACAAAAAATGTACATATCATGTATATGATCAAAATACACTTAGAGGGCAAGAGTTTCCATAAAGAGACAAGATGCATCAAACTGTGTTAACTGGCACACATATCATGAATCTTCTACAGTATTTACACTGTCTCAACAAACTTCAACCTCTTGTGTTCATACAATGTAGTGGCATAGTGTGATGAATTTTTCTTATTGCAATTTATTTTCTGGAACACCCTAATAATGACTGCTCATAATGGCTAATGTCATGCTAATACCACACATAATTACACAAGGCGAGCTCTGTGAGGTCTATCTGACACACACACACACACACACACACACGCACACACACTCACACTCACACTCACACACACACACGCACACACACACGCACACACACACTTTCAAACTCACATATGAGCGTGGGTTTTATAGAAAGTACTAGACATTTTATAGAAGCTAAAAGAGCAGAATATTTTACAGGCACAGATGCACATAGTCTGTCATAAACATTACTGACATGGCAGATTCAGGCGTGACGTGCCCCCGTAATGATCACATTACCTCACCTCCACCTATAAAGCCATAAAGCCACATTCAGAGAACCAAGAGGAGGGAAAAGAGAGGGGGAGGTTGGGAGATGGGTTTAAAGGGAGGTGAAGGAGAGAGGTAGGAAGGGAGGAAAACACGCACATCAACACACACACACACACACACACACACACACACACACACACACACACACACACACACTCACTAACTGAATAACGTAAGATAAATATGCATTACATAACTTTATCAATTGCTCATTAAAATTGTTGTGTGTAAATACCCCCCCGGTCTTTCTGGGATGAACGGTCCAATTTATATCGACTAAACTATTTCACTCAGCTGGACAGCGTGGTAAATATCTGACAGCATTATTTGTACATGGAGGAAATTACAAAGGCAATATGCTAAATGTTAGGCAACTGATTTTTTCAAAAGATAAAACAAAGGTGTGTTCAGTACTTCAGAGCTCTGCTCCTGTGAATGTCATTAATTAGAAATATCCAACAAAGGCTGGTGAAACATGTGTCATAGCTCTGAGAGCTGATATTAATATCCGGCTGATCTACTCTGTGTCTGACACAGAGTTGTCTACAGAATACTGTAGGAAACACATCCAGATCTGTAACAGTATTGCAAATGTATCACTTATATCATTCCTAACAAAGCAATATCTTGTTTGCTACAGAAGGTGTGTGCTTACTGTATGAAGTAGAACTGCTCGATCGCTGATCAAAGATCATAATTGACTGACTTATGTTTGAAAAAGGTCACCAGTGACTGGTGATGACTTTTTCAAGTTACTGACAATTGCTGTTTAGTGGTCGACCATATGTCATGAAAAATATGAGCCAATTTGAGGTCGTTAGCAGAGAACAAGACTTGTGTCGTCCATCTGGCACTGACACTTCTTCCCTGATGTGTTTCAGAAATGACACAGACTCTAATTATATTCCGGAAGCTGTTTAATTATATAGGAACAGACGGTAGTACCCGTGCTGTCACAGTGACACACCACAAATGCCTAGTTTATGAAGCTGAAATATTTGGAATGCAAGGTCACTCACAGACTCGAGCTGGCCCCATTTCTAACATATCATCCATTCTTTGATCGACATCGTCATTTGTTCATGTGGAAGCTCCATGGCAGAAATGCAAAAACTGTGGCGGTTGACGGCTGTAAGGGAAGTAACTGATGCTGAGGCAGATAGTGTGAATCTGTATGCCAAAGGGCAGTCTGTCAAACGGCTAAAATTGGCATTTTCTTTCATGCTGTGGTGCCATTCAGGACTTCCACAGAAGACAACTGCAAGCTGACTGACTGCTCAACTGTTCAAATGACAAACCTCAGCTCCATCTTGGAGTGCGGCAGTATCGGAGGATGGATCTGTAGAACCGGATCAGGATCGACTGTGAGACATTGATTGTGCTAAGGTTAATGCAGGAGGAACATTCTGTGCTGGACCTCCTTGATTAGATCAGTGATCTTGTCATGCCAACGCAGTGTTTCTCAAATGGTGTGCTCCCTGTGAATCTGACTGACTCCACTGAGCTCACTCCACTGTGGCAACATGGATTAATAAGGGGAGACCGGCATGTGGATTTATAACACCCAACACGGCTCTCCGCTGTGTTTGCAGTGTAAAGGTCAAGCCTGTTGTTGGCAAGCTGCGATGCCAGTCTTACGACCTCTCTCTGGTAGACTGGCTCAGTGACTGTAATCTAAAAAGTTTGTTGTCTGGAAACTTGAGCAGCTTGCATCCAAAAGGTCCCTTAAGGCAAACATACTGCAGCACAATTCATTTTCCATAACCACAGTTCACTTTTTTATGGGTCACTGATTATTTGTTATTGTATAGGCTATGTATACATCATATTTGCAGAGAGCCTGTAAATCTGTGTTTGTGAGGTTTTGTGTGGACGCAGAGTGTGAGTGTGCAGTTAGTTTATAGTGTTCACTTGCATGATAAAATACTTAACTAATGCTGTTATTGAATAAACGTAACAGTTGTGTGTTTTTCATATAAAAGTTGTCTCCATCTCCAAGTTAATATAACCTCGGTGATGCAATTTTTCCCAACTTTTCACAGTTCCCGTTAGAACCACATAAGACTTTATGAATCTGTCCTCACATTTTCTATTACTTTTCCAGTGATGAAGAGATTTCTGTTCAAGGCTCTGTTTCAATTTTGGCATAATTTAAAACTAATATTGCTCTATAGATGTACAGTGCATGAAGAAACAAACGCTTTGGAATTGATGGATTGGAGTCAGTTAGAGGAGGTAAAATGAAAACTAAAGAAGAAGGAAGGGTTCATTTCTAAGGCTCCTCACCATCAGACCACCTCATGGCGTCGTCCAGCTGTGGTGGCAGCCCCTTCCAAAGCGTGCTGTCTTTAGGGTAGCCCAGGTCCATTCGCCTCACGTGGTCATCGTAGCGCCAATAGTGGTTGTCCTTGAAGAAGTAGGTTTTATCGTTGTGGAGCCAAACAAAAGCTGCGTCTACACCTTCTGAAGGTAGGCCGAAATCACTGATTGGACGAGGGTAACCTTCCTCCACGTTATTGTCTTTAAACACCCAGTACTTTAGACCTGAGAGGTAAACAAAAATGTAATAATTAAAAGGAGTAATAACGCCTTTAGTTTCCATAAATCCACCCAGTTATATCAGAAACACTTAAAAATAAATAAATGTCATGCTGATATGGAGTCGCAAGGAGGCAAAGATATGTCTAGTCAGTCAATTAAATCCACACAAATACAAAATACAAGTGAAACTTGAAATCAGATAGAGACATTGACCTTTAAAAAACACTATTTTGTGGTCCCCTGGTCTCTCGTACACAGCGTCCACACTGTCCAGATTGGGTGGAAGGCCCCTCCAGAAGCGATGGATCTGAGCCGGACGCAGAGACACCAGGTGCTTCTCTCGAGTTAGTCGCCAGAAATACTTCCCTGTGATGGACAGGTACACGTTAGAGCTTGGAACCTCTTCACAATACATGTGCCGTGTTTGCAATAATCATAACAAAAGTCCTCCCTCTCCTTGACGTTGACCATGTTTTAGAAAAATTTAAAATTAAAATGTTTATTTAAAAATAATAAATTATGTTACCTTGTTACTTTAGTTCGGTTACATTTATCTACTTGTGAACAAGAGTATTTGGCAATAAGGCAGTAGGGCTTGTGCTTAAGAGGAGAGAGGAGAAACTATTTAACAAGAAGGGGAACCTTAGCCGATACACATCATATAAAGTTATGTTATTAAAATCATTAAACATGTTGATGATAGTTCTCTTGCTCTGTAAATATACTGGCCAGACTCGCCAATGACACGAAAAGATCAATTTCAAGCTGAGCAAATTATATGTTTACAGCACGACAGCATGGCCACTAAAGGAACGTTTTATTTAGACTGCAGTATATGTGATGGCGTGTGAGCCTGTGATACAAGTCTGAGGAGCCACACATGACTTGGCTTTCTATCGATCGTTGGAGCCACCGCTCTGTCTTGTGCCCGCCCCCTGTCCTTTACTCTTTCACTTTATCTCCTCTCTGTTCACCTCTTTTTCTCCCTTCTCTCTCAGTGTCACTCTTGATCTGTCTGTCTGTCTGTCTCTCTTGTTCACTTTCTCCTTTTAGGCTTGAATACCTTTGAAAAAGAAGGCCTCCCCTCGTATTTGGGCCACAGCATCAAAGTGACTGGTGCATCTGTCTGGGGCATCTCGCGCCAGCCTGAGAGGAAATTTGGAGGAAGCAGGAAAGAAAACGCAAAGAGATTAGAATAGAGAAAGTGGAAGGCAAGAAAGACATTACATTCAAATTCATATTCTGAACACTGAGTGTCTGAGGGTAAATACATACTGTACCCGCCTATTTTTTTAATATAAATCACAAAACAAGCACACTAGGTATACAGATCATGAAAAAAGAACAAACCCAGTCAATGCCATTTGCACACAAAGAAAAATAAAATAACCATGTGATAATTGAACTCACCTAAAGTGCATTCACAGAGTATTCAGAACCCTCCACATTTTTCATATTTTGTTATATTACAGCCTTGTGCTAAAATCGTTTAAATTCATTTTTTCGTTCAACACATGACAAAGGGAAAACAGAATTTTAGAATTAATTGCAAATTTCTTAAACATATATACATTGACAGAAGTAATCAGACCCACTTGAAATTTAGCTCAGGTGCCTCCAATTTCTCTTGATCATCTTTGAAATGTTTCTATACCTTGATTGGAGTCTACTTGTGGTCAATTCAATTGATTGGACATGCTTTGAAAAGACACACATCTGTCTATTTAAGGTCTCAAAGCTGACCATGCATATATATGAAAAACCAAGCCATGAGGTTGAAGGAGCTGCCTGGAGAGCTCAGAGACAGGATTGCGTCAAGGCACAGATCTGGGAAGGGCTACAATAAAAAATTCTTCTGCATTGATGGTTCCCAAGAGCACAGTGGATTCCATAATTCTTAAATGGAAAAACTGGAACAACCTGGATGCTTCCTATAGCTGAGCAACTGGGGGAGAAGGGCCTTGGTAAGAGAAGTGACCAAGACCCCGATGGTCACTCCTGATGGGAAAAACTTCCAGAAAAGCAACCATCATTGCAGCACTCCACCGTTCTGGGCTTTATAATAGAGGGGCCAGACAGAAGCCTCTCCTCAGTGAAAGTTTGCAAAAAAGCCCCTAAAAGACTTCCAGACAGTGAGAAACAAGATTCTCTGCTCAAATGAGATTGAACCGTTTGGCCTCAGTTCTAAGCGGAGGAACCTAGGCATTGCTCATCACCTGCCTTATACCATCCCGATAGTGAAGCATGGTGGTGGCAATATCATGCTGTAGGAAAGTTTTTCAGCAGCACAGACAGGGAGATTGGTCAGGGTTGAGAGAAAGTTGAAAAGAGCCAAGTAGAGTGATATTCTTAATGAAAACTTGGTTCAGAGTGCTCAGGACCTCATACTGGACCACAGGTTAACCTTCCAACAGGACAATGACCCTGAGCACACAGCCAAGACAACACTGGAGTAGCTTAGTGACAACATGTCTGGAGAAACCTGAAAATGGCTCCCATTCAACCTGACAGAGCCTGTGAGGATCTGCAGAGAAGGATGGCAGAAACTCCAGATGTGCAAAGATTTTTCATAGCCGAGACAATTCAAGACTGTAACTTATGTCAATGTGATGTTTTGGTTGTTCTTTCTAATAAATCTGTAAAATTTTCTAAAATTCTGTTTTGACTTTGTCATTATGGGCTACTGAGAGTAGATTGATGAGGGAAATAATGAATTTAAATATTTTTAGCATGAGGTTGCAACATAACAAAATGTCAAAAAAAAGTGAAGGGGGCTCAATATTTCCTGAATGCATTGTATTGAGATGGTCTGAATTCTTGTATGCATGTGCATGTGTTTCCTTTAATTAAATAGGCTAAACATTAGGTGAAATGCTATCAAGCTAACACAGTGAGGTCCCCTAGTGCATTTATCCCCAGGGCTAATAAGTGATTTAAAGCACTGACGTGGTCTGCCTGCCAATGATGAAGCCATTAGCACCACAGGGCTGCCACTGTGAGTGGGAGGCTGCCAGGCCTTGTATTATCAACAAAGATCTCCATTCAGAGCTCTATTAACATGACACCGCTGCCTAGTGATCAGCATTTGTGACCCTTGTCAAGCATAATCCAGTTTTTCCACGGATCATGCCCTGACGGAGGTGGTGAAAAATGAATAATGAGGGCAGTGAAAAGCCAAAACTACTGAGGGTAAGTGGGTTTTATAAGCTTACTTAGTTTTGGGACTGCTGCGTAGTTTGTTATGTTAGTGTGAGTATATGCATGGAGGTCGAGCAACGGGTGTTGTTTTCAGTAGAGTTTCAAAAACAGTTTGATCACTCCCTGAGCAAGCTGCCATGTGTTGATCCCATTATCTAAAAAGACCATGGGAGTACAGTTAACTAACTTGTAAAACAACCAAATACAAATAAGATATTGTTTACTGTTTGAATGATCAAAAAATATGGTGCAAGATAGATATTTTATAAGATATTTTATCCTACTAGTTTAACCATGTTTAGGCATATACAGCCACAGCCCCTGCAATATAAAACTAATAAGATATTTCCTGGTGGCTCCTACTGTGACGAATCATGTGAAACAGCAGAGAAAGACTCCTGAATCCAGGTCATCCCTAAGAATTCCCTTATGGTTCATGTTCTACATGTTGCACTGCTCTGAATTTAGGTTGGCTTTTTTGGACTGTTCAAGACTTTGGTCCAGAGATATCTTTGGAACTACTAAACAGATTGTAATGAAGTTTTGTATTGATATGCATGGTCCTCAGGAGGATGAACCCTGTGCTGATCTTTCCTCTCTGCAGCCAAAATAGCCAACATACATATCCACCCATCATATTCATGCTCCAACGACTATTTTTGATCATTTTGACTGTTACATTTTCTCTCTTCTAATGACTACCTGAGGCTGAATGATAAATGAATGCCTAGATGGTCATGAAATTTTTAGTCATGGTGGCCAGAGGATAAAACCTGGTTATTGTGGTGATCCATCTGCCTTCAGCACCAGCACATTGCCATGACACTGAGCATACTCATGCTCCTGAGGCAAAGAGCTCTTGACTTTGGTGATTTCATGGCCTGTGTGTGTGTGTGTGTGTGTGTGTGTTTGTGAAGCCCATAAAGCCAATCTTTATATTATATTTTTCATTTCTCCTAAAGCTGTGAGTACTTGTACCAGGGAAGGTACCTCTGCAGATGCCGTGGGTTGAGTACTTCAACTAATTTGATAAAATAAAAATTATGATATGATTCCATTTCTTAATTAAAGCAATTTAGTTATTTTGAAAAAGGATGACATTTTCTAAAAATAATAGTTGAACAACATCTATTTTAATGAATTCAAATGAACACAATTGGGACATGACAGGTTGTGTACTTCAGTTGAACTGGCAGGGCTCTGGGGGTACGTCTAACAAAAAAGGTTGGGAGCTACAATCCCAGAGGCTCCACACAGCAGCATTTAGGGTCAGTTAGAGGGTGTTTAACTTTGCCTGTCTGTAGGGCAAATCTATTACAGCCTCTGCTCCGACATATTTACTAAGGCAGTGGACACCTGAGGGAGCTTGGAAAACAATGAACCATGAGTGTGTGTGTTTGAGAAGACCAGAAAAGAAGAGAGAGAAAAGAGGAGAGAATGAAACATTATGGATTAGGAGGCTGAATGTGTTGTGTTGTATGTGATTACCAGAATAGTTGCACTAAAAAGACACCACAACTTACAAGAGGGTGGATCTGTTTTCAGGAAGGTCCAGCAGGACGGGAGGTTCAGCTGTCTGGGAGGGGTTGACTGGTCGATTGGTGTGGGACACAGAGTCTCTGACACCTAGGGAGGATATGTGATTAAAGATCAGATGAACATACAAAAGACAAGATAATCAATTGTATATAATTTCCTATTATTGTTAATTTGGATTTGGGTCTTGTACCATGCAATTTGAAGACATAAACCTGGGCTATAACAAACTTGTGTTGGGTATCTTTTAAACATTTGTTTGTCATTCCAATTGACAAAAAAACAAAACAGAAAAATTATTGATATATTAATCAGAAAGCTAAACAATGGATGTTCTGCAGGAGGAGCTGGCAAACATTGCTATGGAGGGGGATGTCTGGGCTACCTTGCCCAGCCTGCTGCCACTGTGACCTCACTCCGGATGAGTGGCATTAAATAGATGGATGGATGGAGCTCAGTTACATCCTCTTTGGCATTATAATATGCATTTCTTTTATTGTTCCACAGTACAGCAGTTTTGTTTTAGTGTCTATATTTAATTCAATTCATCTCCTTCCTTGCAGTCCTGTCCCTCAGCATTCTTTCCTGCAATTCATTCTTGCCTTTGTGATCATTAGTCTCTCCCCCGCACACTGCTACTCTCTTTACCAGGCAATGGTGTGATAAGGTCATATGCCATAAAGAGGTCCAATTAACTCCACCCGTGTTTTCATTAATCAATAACCCTGCTCTACAGAGCTCATCAATTCTTCTCTCTCTCCCTTTCTGCCCCACTCACACACACACACACACACACCTACACACACAGAGCAGTGGATGGATGTTGCCTCGTACCGTAGAGCTGCCAGACGCGGACCTTGTCTTCATAGGGTAGGTCGTATTTCAGAGGGTCTCCTACAGGACCCTGGTAGTACGGTCTCATGATGGACTCCATGGCTGAGGTGTGGACCAGGCCGATGGCGTGACCGAACTCATGGACTGCAACAGCAAACAGGTCCATGCCATGGGAGTCTGAAGAGAGAAAAGACCGAGAGATAACTCATCTTCAAGCTTTTTAAAGGACCAGTTTGTAGGATTTAGTGGCATCAGGCTGTGAGGCTGTAGACTGCAACCAAGAATACCCCCCTCTCCCCACTCCCTTTTCAGCAGGTAGGAGAACCTATGGTGGCCTTCAGGAAAATAAAAATGTCTCTAGAGCCGGTGCTTGGTTTGTCCGCTCTGGGCTACTTTAGAAGTTTTTAGCGTTGCAACATGGTGGGCTCATGGCTGTTTAAAAGTTTAATAAGGACTAATAAGGACGGTGTACCATACGGTAGATGGACAAATGAAGAAGCACAACTAGTCAAGGGCTATTGTTTTCATTTGGTGGAAGAGGACCTGCTCCCTATGCAGATATGAAGGGTTCGCTAACGAAAACACAGCAATTCTTTGTTTAATGTGATTATACACTAATGAAAACATAATTATGAATATTATAATCCATTTCTGCCAACATAGCCAACAAATCCTACACACTTGTCCTTTAACACTATGCTTTTATAAGTCTTATTTTATTTGAGGGGATGGATATATGGAACATGATTATACTTAAGTTGAAACTGTATTTTACAAAGCAACACCATAGATCTAATGCCTCTTTTTATTTTGTTTTTGTTACATTACAATTTGTGTTCAGGAATTTTTTTCCTATTCAGTGATACAGTACGTACATGTGACATTTGTCTGTATCCAATAGTAGCTACTGTATGTACCATTGTCTTTAAAAATAAGTATTAAATGAATAAATAAATGAAATGTTCCTTGGACTTGGAACGGGAATAAAACAGGAAGACACACCCTCTCCATTTGAAATGGAGTAATTTACGAGAGCAGTCAATTCAATCAAAGAAGGGGATACACAATACTGCACACAGCATCATTTTCCTCCCTGCAATCATTGCTGACCGGCATGGTCGGAAATTACTTAATTCAAAATCTTAGACACATCTCTTCCATTGCTTTCATCATTTCAAAATGAACTAGCATCCTTTTGGTCAGGAAGAGGAAATAAAAAGGTTTTCACTTTGAACTCATGACACACCATTACACCATCTATATATATACTGTATATATATATATATATACTGTATATATATATATATATATATATGTATATGTATCACCAAGAGCTGTCACAATGTCAGATTTTCACTACACAATTATCATGGCCATAAGAATAAGATAATAAGATATATATAGAAAATTAAAAAAAATAAAATAAAAATAATAATAATGATGCTCAGTCACATTCATCTTTAACTTTGTTTACTCTGTGTTTTGTCTTTTTTTTGGCAAATGAATTAGACTCAAATACGAGTGTAGGGAGCTGGAAAGAGAGTCTGCAACCATAACTGTAGAAAAGCAAACGAAAAGAGCAATTACACTTTATGTAATTGAGAAGGCAACCAGATGAACTGATAAACAAAAAAATACACAAGACCATAGATCTGCCATCATGTTATTATATGTGCATTATTAACAAGATATCAATATTTCATTTTTTAAAAAACATGGTTAATATTGGTACATCACGACACCCCGTAATATCACCATATCACCAGATATTTTTAGTTCAACCAGATTTTGACAGAGATCTCTTTGCTGCTTAACGTTTGTGAGCTTTGTAGGACCAACGTGTCCCATGTTTAAATGTTTATCCCTTTTATAAGTGAACTCTGTAAGTTGTAAGTTAACAGGGATGTCAGACAGCTCTGGTGGCTTTGAATGCTGTTAGGTGTGAGGTGTAGGGAGATAACTGTGGGAATACTTCTCTGTCCCTTGGCTGCCAATCAAAGCCTCAGTGTGGAAAGACACCTCAAGAGCATGCATGCTGTTAAAGCACATTCCCCTTGATGTTCAACTAAAAAAGAAAAGGCAAAGCCTCCCAAAACTCCTTGTCTGGCTCTGCTAAGCAAGACAAAACCTAGGGCTTGGAGATTTAGATTTGCAAAAATGTGAGTGGTAGCGTGTCAAGCCAAGCTAGCTTAGAGTTCCTTGGTGGCTGGGCTCAAGTCTGCATTCAGTTAACCTTATGTTGGGAACATCTCAGTGCTACGCTCTGTCAAAAGACAAAGGACAATTGGAGACACGCACTTGTGCTTACAACACCTGGGGTATTCAGAGGCAAAACGCCAGCTGTAATCTACAGGAGCACAAGGTGCAGAGAGGAAAGGTGGATCAAAGGAGGGATCGAGGGAGGGAGAACAAGGATTCAGAACAAAGTAGGTACTGTCGTCGTATTTACAGTCTGTCTGAGGTGGACAGAAAGAAAATCCCAATGCCTGCAGACAAAGTCAGAGCTGAGAGATTTGGGTGGATAAATGAGACTGATTGAGTTAGACACCCATGGCAGAAAGACAGAGAGCAGGAAAGAGAGAGAGAGAGAGAGAGAGAGAGAGACATAAAGAAAGCTTTAGTGTGAATGGACAGGAGCAAAATGATATTGCTGCATTGTAGAGGGCACAACCAGTAACACATATACAACTAACAGACCTGTTTCCACTGTGTCATAAGTTATTGTATTAAAAAATCTCATTACTTTGAAACACAGTTAATACAATATATAAAATGGTATCACTACCTTGAATATAGCATGATGTATCCTGGATGCTACAAACATAGCCTGTAGCATTTGGTTAAAAGTTTAATAAGGACGGTGTACCATACGGTAGAGGGAAAGAGGCAGGAGCACAACTAGCCGAGGGCAATTCTTTTCATTTGATGTGAATCTCTGTAGCCTCGTGACCTTGCATTACCTTGTGCTGTAATGACTCCTGGAATCAATATTTTTATCAGAATTTTTCAGGTTTCAAATTTTTTTAAACTATGTTTAAAGCAGGTAGAACCATGGTAAAAATGCCCAGGTTTAAACAACATACTCTCTTGATTTGTTAACGAGCATGTAGTTGAAATTAAGAGAGGATGATGATACAGCAGTCCCCCTTGTTGATATCACAGGTCTGGAAATATGATGTATTTCATAATTCAAAAGATGAAGCAAAGCTTAATTTGAGTAAAGCTGCTCGCAAAGTCACAGCTGTTAAATTAAAATATTGCATTTTGTAGTGACACGAGATGGCAGCTTCAATTGACAATATTTTGGAATTCATTTTATCTACGACAAATATTGATTTTAAGACTTAATCGTAGTGCAAATGGCAAAGGATAAACATTAAGGAGTCTTAAGTTTTATGGAAGAACTGTTCAAGCAGGAGAACTGACGTATTGATTGAGCTCTTCCTTGCGAGACTCAAATCATTTCATGAACTCCCTAAAAATCAATTCTGGCGATATCTGCTCCCACAGCTGACCTACATATTTTGTGCTGCTTTTTTTTTTTCTTTCTTTTAAAGCATGATGATGCCATTACCCATATGTACTAGAGTGGAAACTATAGGTAAGCCTTAATTTTATTCCATGCTCCTGCAGAGCTCACACTCTAGCCCTTACTCACAAATGGGAGGCTGCTCCTGACATAAATTTTCCTGAGGAGGAATGGACCTTTTTTCACCTAGAAATATGTGGGAAAATGTGTCCAGAGAAATCAAAGTTAGACTTCTGAAATATTTATCAAAGTTTATTGAACTCCATCAAGGCTCCAAATAGTGAAACTACAACTGAAATCAGACTGGAGTTACGGTATCTTAAATTTGGAAAGAACTGCGACCAATATGTATTGGACAGGATATTTTATACTTGAAAAATGAACTTGTAGGTGCTCTCTGTTGGACAAATTATGTAATTTGTCCACAAAATTACCTCAATCATATGATTGAGGTAATTTTGTTGCCAGTATTGCCATTACATTCGGAGTCTCTGTGTTGCAATTTCTTGTTACTTATCCACCGACACACAGGCAGACAATTGCCCGATAATATCCCTGCTGCCAGTGTATTGGTCAGGCTCTGTTAAATTAAATGCAACTTTCCCCTTTCACCTGGTGTGTATGTGTTTGGAGACAACTCCCATCTGTGATTTTGGCCTGCCCAAGGCAAAGTGGATACAAAGAGCTATTATGTCATGTTGAAAATTAATTGAAAGGAATGGAAGTCTGCACCAGCTCCTTTTGTGAATATTTAGTGTGTTAAATTAGGCAAGTTGGCAGCTCTAGAAAAATTGTCCTTCAATCTACTGAACAAGCTGAATGGCTGATATACAAATCAAGAGGTGTGGGACTGTCACATCTATGGTCCAAATTTAATTATTACATTTTCAGTTTGTAACAATAAGCAACAGTCAACATGCAGCCGCATCTGGCTCTAAACCATCAAAGGGCAAACACAGGGGAAGAAGAAAAAAAATGCAGCATGTTGTTTTCCCCGACCAACACACTCTGGAAGCATGCCTGTAAGGTGCAGCATGTTGTGATAAACAGAAATGCTGCAGCCGACACACAATGAAGACAAAATAATGATTCTTTAGTGATAAAACACTTTTTTTAAAAATGTTTTTCAGAATTCAGGATGAATCAACTGTTCTTCATGGTCCAGTATTATAAAAGTGACCAGAATTCACTGAAACTATTTCAACATGAAATTACATTTGAAACATTTTTAATCTTCTCATTAAAGCTGCTATAATCAATATTTTGATATTACCACTGGATCATATGACTACTTTCATATGACAAGGGTGGCTGTACTGTAGGGTTGTAGTGATGAACTCACAGAGAATTATCACCTGGGCTTTTTAGCATTTTTGTTTTGGTTTTATGGCAACAGCCTCACTTCTCTCATCAGCATCATTTTCAGCCGCAGGAGGTCTTTGTTTTCAGTGAAAAGCTCAAAGGTCCACTGTACACTACCTGCTCAACAGCACACAGCACCCAGACAAAGCTAGTGCAGGTGAACATAGAGGAGAATTTAAAGGTGCTGTTTGTAAATTTAGCCATTGCTACATAGCCAACATTACAGTAGCAGCTGTTAACTTACCAGTCTTGGCAAGAGCTTCAGCCATCATTGCGTTAACAGGACAAGAGGTTATGATATGCCCTCTGAACAGCACTACTTCTTCAGGACAGCCTGGACACTATATTGACTTAGTATCGGAAAGTGATGGGGCAGTCAGACCGCGACTGACAGAAATAGAAGCAAAACAAGAGGTTGCTTTCTGTGTAGCAACAACAAAACTTTAAAAAAGCTAATTTAACAACCAAAGATCCAAATATTTTCTTCAGGAGTTGTTGGAGACATGGAACATGGAAACGTGTCATATCAACTTTATCATGGTGTTGTGATTATAGATCATTTCTGTGCTATACTCCCCAAGTAGCCAAAAAAATTGTTAATGCAGGTTTAAGAAACAGAGAATGGGAAATTGGATGATTATTATCACATTATAAAAAGCTGCACAAATAACTCAGCTTGTAGGTGCCACTTGCTGCAGGTCACTTATTTAACTTATCTCATAAACTGCATCACTAGCACTGTGAAATGACTTAAATATCAGACTGAATCGTTTGAATACCACATTGCTTTAGAGTTACACAGTTAATTATTAGAAAGCACTAGACAAAAAGAGAATATTTGAAATTCTATAATTAGTGAAGACTTCATTAGCCTAAAGGTGAGTCCCAAATTGCTAAAGGCATACTAGACAATCTCAAAGTACAAGAGTATGAGAATGATCATAACGGCAGAGGCAAAACTTTCAAGGAGAGGATCAATACCTTGTTTTTACAGCGTAGAAATAATGTTGTCTCTAGTATAATCTGTATCTAAAATCACATAAACCCTAATTCTGTGCTAAAAGAATGATACAAAAATCAAAGGCAGCAGTAAACAACAAAGGGCTGTTTTTATTGCCATTGATTGGACTAAGAAACAAGCTCTAGTGCCTTTGCCGACTATAGATGAAAGATGAAAGAAGAAAAAGTCTGATGTGTTTTATTTGGTGTAGATTTCACCCTTCATCGAGGTGAGTGAAAGAAGTAGCCTTGAAAGCAGAAACATCTAACAAGGTAAGATGATTGACAGCCTGCATCTTTTCATTCTCGCTCAAAGTGCCTTGTTTTTAACACTGGTGCTGTATTCATCAGACTGTCACCACTGTTCAGTTATTTATGACTATTTATTTGTTGTATTTCTCTGTTTAAATCAACATTTCTCTATGTTGGAAATTCTGTTGTTTGTAGAGGGAAATACATTGCCATCATGAAAATAAGAAAACACCCCTGAACCCTCCCTCCTACACTGCCCTGCTCCCATTAACCAAACTTTCATCTACGCAGGCAGTGCTACTACAGCATCATGCCATCATGTCATGCCACTGCTGTGGCCTGCTGGGACATCTAATTGGAGCAGATTGAGCCACCGTAACATATGGTTCACAGCTTTAACAGCTCAGAAGCAAAGAATGGAAATGAATACAGGTCGTGGTTGTATCACAGAGTCACCAGCTGGTACAGTCAGCATCATCCACACCCCTGCTACAAGCTTTAAGTTCCAGCTGTAGGAGGACAGCACGGTGAGCGGTGTTTCTGTGTATCATATGTTTCCCCCTGTTTCCAGTGTTTGTGTAAGCTGTTGGTGAATGGTATTAATCTTCATCCAAATCTTGGCAGGAAAGCTAATTATCAAGAATGTCAAACTTTTCCTTTAGGTAAAAGTCTAAAATTATTCCATTAGTCAATTTAAAAATTGAGTGTAAGTGTTAGCAACAAAATAAACATGTGTATTAAAGGTTAAAGTACTTGGGATGTAATATATCATATTACTGTATATTAGTAGGTTATTTTTCTGACTCGTTCATGTGTAAGAAGCTTTTTTATGTTGTAGCTGCTTGAAGCTGATTTAAACCAGTTTATAGTTCAATCTGAGACATAAAATATAATTCAAAAGAGTGGAGTAACTAGTAAATACAGCTGTGAAGAAAGAGCATATAAGAGCAAATATTTCTATCGAAAATGAAGTGGAGTGGAAGTAAAAAGTAGTACATAATTGGAAATATTAGAGTTGAATACAAGTACTTTAAAATTGTACTTGAGTAAAATACTTGACTAGATGATTTTCCACCACTGTTTCTGACTATAAAGCGTGACTGATATTTCTGCACAGTGTGTCTGCAACTCTGTAAATCTCATCACCGTGTCATTGTGTCCAAATCCCTCTTTTATCGATCATCATTAGAGCAGCTGTTAGTTGACATCACAGATTATAGTGCTGCTTCGAGGTCTCGGAGAGACATTTTCCTTTCAGCTTTTCATTGCCATAAATCAAAGGAAACACTTTTCTTAAAAAAAAAAAAAATTATCACTCAAATATTGTCCTTTTCTCTCTTTATTTTTCTTCCAAATCCTTCATCTGTTAAGAATTTAAAAGACTCAAATGTTGTGAAAACCTTCTGGCATAATTCAATAATCAGGTGAGATCTATATAAGTCAGCAATACAATCCCATTTCTTGTGTTAATTTCTAAAAAGACAAAACTTCATGGGTATCAGGCATATTAGAGTGGATTATTTGTTTATGGCAGTTGGAGGAAATGAAAGGACGCCTTCTTTGCCTACTAATAAGCTTGTGATAACAATTACCGCTACTTTAGTCACTACTCTGAGTCCTGTATCTGAAGCCATGTTATATTGATAGTTCTAACACATTAAATATTAATTACAGAATCTGGAACATGAACAAAGGGTGGAAGCGCAGCTTGGCTTCAAAATACAGTCAGCGTTCTAGTTTTGGATATAGAAACCTTGCCGAGCATGGCAATTCAAAACAGTGTTCAGGCTCTTTTCATTTTCTAGACGCTGACTGTTTAAATCTCCTCATTTTATAGTGCTCTGGGAGTCTCTGAGAAATGTTTTGGTGACATGTTTCCCAGAATATCACTGCATATCCATTCTCCCTCATCACCCTTCCAAATCTGTCTTTCACTAATTAATATAATACATGCATATTCAAGTGCATGTGTACAGCACTTAACATTTACAAGAGAAGTTCCTCACCTGGTGATCTGAAGGTCCACGCCTCATCATCATCAAAGTGTGTATCCCCGGCTGTGAACCTCTCTCCGGGGAAAAATGCATGTGCCACGGTGCCCCCTGGCCCGTCAAAGGGATATCCATCATTGTGGTCGGCCTTAGTGAAGTCGATTTGAATATCTGCGTCACTGCCAGCCACCTCGTGGAAGTTAAGTGGAGCGATGTCGCTCCAAACCTTCAAGGCGTAGTACATCAGGGCTCGAACAGTATCCCTGCCCAATAAGGCTGAATCCTTAGGGAAGGTCCTCACTCTGAGATAAGGAGGGGAAAGAAAAGGATTGGGGATTATTAGATAGCAGATTTCAGTCTCAGGTGTGTCAGCCATGTAGTAGTTTTCAGCAAATTCACCTTTAGATCTTTTTACATGTATTTTTACGTGTATCCTGAGGAAAATAAATCTTAAAAAATACCTACCAAACACGTTAAGTAATATATCCACCTGAACCCAAATTTTACTAGTGAAGTAAAACAAATAAATAAAAACACCCACAATCCGCACACTGCCATTGTTAGACAAGCTATAAAAAAAACTTTTCTTTTGTCCATTCAGGTTGTGTCTTTCAGGAGTTATGACAACAATTTTGATTACTTTGGTGAAGCTTTGGGGCCCTTTATAGTGCAGTACAATTTAAAGAGAATAGAATAGAATAGACACTTTTTTGCCACCAATAGAGGTGACTCTTTCCATCAGATTTTTAGTCCATTTTTTGAGATAGCTGATAACAACAAATTGGCTGGAAAACTGACTCTGGCTCACTGATGCAGTTTTTAGCTAGAAAAAAAAATAGTTCCTTCTATGAAGACCTTTCTCTTTTGTATTTAGGAAGACGGATTGGAAGTTTCAAAGAAATTCTTTTACCTTGAAAATGGCAGTGACAGCTTGTTTTACTCTCTGCTTTATTCATTTATTTATCAGGGAGACCATACATTAATTAACATTATGATAAGATTTAGCCAGAAGGCTAATTTTCAACTGAAAGTCCCTGGGCAGTGTTATACATGTGATGCTTTTACAATAAATGGACACATTTTTGGGTTATATATCTAATCTTCTGTTTCATTTTTATCTCAAAGATTGTGATCTAGATAACAGAAAATAAGACAATGATCTAATTTGTTTACATTCACAGCAGACCTGTCTACTACTTATGGACAAATTATTACTCATAATACACTATGGAAAGCGGCTGCTGGTCTTTGATCAGCCTCAAAGGACACTTCACTCCGCTGCTCATTGACCTCCACTGGCTGCCTGAATCAAATTCAAGTCACTAATGGTTGCCTTCAGAGTAGCTTCAGGGTCTGCACTCATCTACTTGAAGTCAATCATACAGGCTTATGCTCCCTCTCGGCCACTTCCTCCAAGGAATGTTGTCTGGCAATGCCATCCCTACACACAAGAAAATCTGAGTCCAGTTCTTGTTTGTGGTTCCCTGATGGTTGAACGAGCTACCAAATGCTATCATAGCAGAGGCGTCCCTCTCTATCTTCAAGAATCTCTTGAAGGCTCATCTCCTCAGAGGGCAGCTCCTCTCCTAACACCTCTATCACCCTGACATGCCTAACTAGCACTTACTGTGCACTTTCGTGGCCTTCTTTACCTGATCTCCTTGCACTTTGTGTTATTGAACAGAAGAAGTACTGAAGCTTTAGTGTTGTCCCTCACTTGGAAGTCGTTTTGAATGCAAGTGTAAATAGTAACACAGACTAGAATAATGGCTCATAGAAAAAATACCAACTCATCATTTGTGTCTGAGCCCAGGCAGAAACTCAAAGACCCCTTAGGTCTTTCCATAGCTCCAATATGATACAGTCCTTTGTTGGCATAAAAATGTGGACATACCTAGTACAGTAGAGTTTTAAGGTACTTCAACATTTCCATTTGATGTGACTTAGGGATGTGACAACTACAGTTCTGATGGAAATGTTGTACTTTTTATTACTCCACTACATTTATTTGACGTCCATAGTAACTATTTATAGCTACTTGGCAGATCAAAGTTTTACATACCAAACATACTGTATGACTGTCTTATAAAAAATTATACACTGCTACATATTGGACTACCCTATAATATAATATAAAGCAGGCATGCACTGATCTGAACTCATTGGTATAGAAACTGCAATACCGAAAAACATCAAAGACAATAATCAGTGGTAATAATCATTTCATAAGTATAATTTGACACTCAAGGGGCCATTCTGTCCTTAGGGAGAACTTTTACTTTTGAGACTTAAGCACGTTTGCTGCTATTGTTTAATACAAGTACCTAATAGATGATAAAAGTAAACTTGGATGTTGCTGCTTCTACTTAAGAGATTTCATCCACGACTGATTGAAAGTGAAGTATTGCATGACCAAAACAAAGGGGTCATTCCATCCTAATCTATCACAGTTAATATGTGCCATCCTGACTGAACCACTTTTGTCAACATGCCCTATTAAGCAGAAAAGTGATGAAACATCTACTTTCTGTGCCAGGTTATCTGTTATCTGCAGCTGAACTTCATGTAAAAAAAGATAACAATGCTCTATGTAACCCATTAAACTCCACTGCAAAGATAAATAAATATAGGAGGCCTATCCAACAATGTTATGAGCTATGTTTGGAGCTTTGCTAACCCATCATGAAGCCTTCGCTATCCTGATGACCTGCTGATTTTTTTTTTTTTTTACTACAGAAAAGATATCAAAGTATTTTACTGATAACTTGAGCCACAACAACTTTTGCCACCAGCTACATTTCAGACCTTTCATCCCCACATGAGACAGAGCAGAAGCTGTTTTAACGACTCAGCCTGTAGCTCAGGGTGACCTGACCTTTACTGTCAAAGTCAAACTTCTGAGCACCTGCCAGAGGAGCACACACCAGCAAGCTCTTTAATCTTTTAAATCACTTCTCAAGGCACACTTCTAGTGGCAAGTAAGTTTTCTTGTTTTAACGCTGTTTCAATTTTGCTCTCATTAAGCTATTCATCCACTTTTCATTGAGTTTGGTCATTTATCTTATTTGTTTTGAATTTGTTATGCAACACAATTTTAATTAAACACCACATGATAGATAAATAGGTAGATATCTTTATTTGACTTTTTCTGCTTTCTTTTTTCCCTCTCTCAACCCTTCTGTTCTGTTTCTTCCTTGATATTCTTCTCTCCTCCCATATTTTCTCTCAATAATTTTGGTTTCCCTTTATCCTCTTTAGTTAATCCCTTCTTCATTTCCCTATTTCACCTTGTGAGGCATGAGATGTATGTGTATACAGCACATGACTGATTTTCTCTCAGGGGTCCGTGCTGGTTGTTGTTTTTGTGAGTTTTCTTTTCCTTGTCCTTCTTATTTGTTAAAACCATCTCTACCTCAGAGATGATGGGTCCCACAACAACCAAAGATAGCGATTTTCTTGAATTTTAGGCAAAACCTACCCTTCGTTTTTTTGTTTCTTATACACTTCATAGAGTTAACAACGGGTTCTCACTCTTATTACCACGACTGCTGGTATACTGCACAAATTATATCAAAAGAGTAGTCCTATGAAGATCCTTTCATGATTCAGTATATGAATGTTTACAACAAACACAAATGTAGATGATGATGTTCAGCCCTGTACTATAAAAACGAAACTATCACCCCTCCACGTCACTTCTTTTCAATAAAATCCTTCCAGGCTTATCTCGTTAGCTTCCTAACATCCATAGTTTTAGCCTACATTCGCTGATATTTTCGCCTGCTCCTCACTGCACTCAACACTTGAGCTGCCTGTTTATCTGCTGTTGCCACGACGTCTTTAACACACCCAGTGATGCGAACGAGTTGATTAGTGCAGCTAATTAATGGATTAATTAGCAAATATGTCTATGTCAACATGTTGTCACAAAACACATGGACAGCATTAGCAAACGTTAGCTTAACGCAATGAGGAGGTGGTTGTTTGAAAAATGGGATTTTCTTCATTAATATGCAAATCTATGCCACAAGTCACGTCCACACCTAATCAGATCACCTATTCTAAGGGGAGACCTGTGGTGTACAGTAAGTATGAATTTTTCTTATGTTCATTTGCTGACAAAAATGTGCCTACGCAGTCCACTTATTCATACTGCCTGAACGCATGGCCCTCACTGCTAACCACAGTTAGCCAAGGTCACTGCAAATGGCTCAACCTCCACAGACAATTCACCTGCTTATTAGTCCTAATTCAGACGGACGAGGGTGGGCGATTGTGTATATCTGTGCATTTGTGTGTGTGTGTGTGTGTGTGTGTGTGGGTGTGTGTGTGTGTGTGTGTGTGTGTGTGTGAGAGAGAATGTTGATGAGAGAGAAAGATGGAGAGGTAGAGTGCATGGTTTTGTCAGTGTGTAAGTGTGTGCATCCAAATGTGTGTGTCAGCTTGTGAGTGTGTGTGTGTGTGTGTGTGTGTGTGTGTGTGTGTGTGTGTGTCTGTGTGTGTGTGTTTGTAATTGTAGGTAAGTCCACCAAGGTCAGAGCATTCCTGCCCTGCATCTCATATAAACTGAACAGTCCCAGGGAACTGCTGGTGTTTACACAAGGAGTGTATAAGTGCATGAAAAATGAAGCAGGTGTCATTTCTCTGTGGTGCCTCCTTTAAATTTGATTAACTTTACAGATTGTGACAGGGATCTTGTCACTTTGTCAATCTTACGCCTTGATTTAACAACCTTATTGATTATGTTTTAATTCAAGAAACCAACTGCGGTCAGATCTTATGTTTATTAAACATCTCGTTCTCATCAAGTCCACCCTGGTATGTTTTTATGGTCTATTTGTTGTCATTTTTTTTTCTCAACATAAACTACGAAGAAAGACCTTTTTCATGACAATATCATAAATCATTCTCTTATTTTGTAGGCAAAAATAAATTAAAATAAAAACACTGCTACATGTATATTACTGCTATCACCATTGTCAAAACAAAAACCTGTTATTTGTAAAATACGCTGGGAACTGGTTAAATATAATATAATCAAAAAACTCAGTTGACAGTTCAGTTAGATCTCCTGTTGTTTTTTGTATTCATGATTTATTTTTAACCTGTTAAATCATTTTTAATTTGTTAATGGCATGATGATACAATAAAATATCTGAAAAGGCAAATACAAAAGTTATTACAAGAGTTCTGGGATTTATTCCACAGTTGAACTGACCAGGTACAGTATATTTAACTTTTATCAACCTGAATGTATTATTTTACTTGACATAGTTGTGGAGAGGAAATACTGCAAATACAA